ACCTGATCCTTACACTCCTTACCACCCGCGTAAGAAGAAAAGCAGGTGGAAGGTGGAGGAAGGATCGCGCGACGCTTACTCCAGATATACGAACACGACGCGTCCCGGTCGCGACGATGTCGAGCAAGCGAAAAGCCGCGAGCGGCAAGGCGAAGAGCCGTCCCAAGTCGCGCAAGGTAGAATACGACGAGGAGGATATTTCCAGCGAGCACGACTCGGAGGTCGACGATGCTGAGGCCGGCTCCAACGCCGACGGCGAGGACGCCGCAGTCGAGGACGCGCTTGCGGACGTTTCGAACATGCCTGAACTGCCGGCCCCAGAGGTGATGAGCCTTCGTATCAGTTCCCCCTGTACCCGCGCGGACGACGCGCCCGGTCTCGCAACGCAACGCGGACGGCTATTCGTTCGGAACAAATGAGAGCCGATTGTCCCGTATTAACAGTCGCTATTGTCTCACCTTCCGATATCGTAATATGAATATTTAAACAAATTAGTACGTAAATATCTAATAACGTATTCGATTTACTGACTCGACCCTACTCTGAGTCAATGGTCTGTTCTTTTTAACTGTATTTCTTACACGGTTTAGCTCTTCTTTTGCAGTTAAACGGAATAGACCATTGACTCAGAATCGGGTCGAGTCATTAAATCGAATATGCTATAAGTGTATTGTTAACACTTATGCCCTTATTCGTAAGGTCTGGTTTTTTTAGCCAAAATTTTTGCTCAGTTCGTCTTCTACGTGGAAGAGAAAAAGAGAAAAGATGAACTGCTCAAAAGTTCAACTAAAAAGAACAGCCTTCTGGTCAGATTTCTGGCTGTATTGTTTATTATTTACAGAGGCAGGAACCAATAAATAAGAAAGATAATAAAACCTTATAGTTAAGGCTTCCTTAAATTTATCTTTAAATGCTCAGTAGCCAATAAAATGATTCATGGAACATTGGAAAATAAACTTAAGGAAACCTTAAATGTAAGGCTTGACTATAAATATAGGCATTAAATTGCATTTCAATTGTTGTGATCAATGTGGTTTTCTACTTCTTTTCATATTTGCTCTATAAACTTTGTTAAATATTGTAGGATTTGTTAAATTAGAAAGAGAAAATTAATCCTTTTATCAGCATTTTGTTATGTTACTTCTAACTCCTATTAAATTTAGTATATGTGTCAAATTCATATTGAACTTTATAGAAATTTTATAGAAAGTATTGAATGAAATACATCAGAGAGCAAGGAGAATAATTATAAGTCTGTTTTATCTGAATTTGAAGCACAGTTCCTTTTTCTTCTCTGCTTTTCTCTCTATATAAGAGAAAAAAAGAAGAAGAGATCAATTATGTGCAAGAAGTTTAGCTAAAAAGAACAAGCTTCATAAAATCTGTTTCATATTATAGGGTGGATGGGGCAAACCTGGAACATTGCTCATGTGTGGCCTTACTAATTGGGAAATGGCTGGTCGCAAGGCACCGCCTAAAGGAGTAAAAGCAAATGTAGGACGTAGCCTGTGGACACCGCATACTTTTAAGAACTTGAATGACGCAAAAGTACGACTAATTGCATCCGGTCCTGCTGCATCCCACAGCATTATCGTCACTGAAGATAATAGATGTTTGGCTTTTGGTAGAAACGATAAAGGTAAGCGATATGTATCTCTGTATACAAATACTGTGATATCACAAATGTATATCACATTGTTATTTTCTTTTTTCTCATTGAAATGTGTATTTTCCCAAAGTGGGTTATTATTCATCTTGCACTTCAATCACAAACTTGCAATAAATCTCTTATAAAATCAAAGTGTACATGAGGCATAGGCTGGAATCAAATTCAGAATATTTACTATTGGACTTATAAGTCTGTGTAGATTTCACACTGACACAAAATGATGGCTCAATAAAACTTTATATTCAGTGTTCTAGGCACGTTAAAGTTTGACCAATAAATAATATGATCAATATACATATATTAGCATCTGAGTGTATATAAATTTGTATATATTACAAATTTAAATACAATCGCTGATTTTATCTTATTTTATCGATATTATTATTGTTGAGGCTGAACAATTTTGCATAGGTCAATTGGGTGTTGGAGACACAAAACGTCGTGATGAACCCACCGAGGTCGAAGCTTTAAAAGGACACACGGTTATAGGAGCATCATGTGGACGTAACCATACCTTGTTTTTAACAAGTCGTGGAATAGTTTTTGCCGCTGGCGACAATAAGTTGGGCCAATGTGGAATCGGCAAGAACGATCCTTGTATTGTAACTGCCACCAAAGTAAAATATTCCGGACCGCCGATAGTGAAAGTAGGATGCGGCGCAGAGTTCTCGATGATTCTGGATATCAAGGGCGGTCTGCACTCATTTGGATGCCCAGAGTATGGCGCTCTGGGCCATAATACTGATGGCAAATATTTCGTCACGAATACGAAAATGGCATTTCATTATGAAAAAGTACCTAAGCGAATCGTTTTATACGTCGAAAGGGGTAAGGATGGCCATGCGACGCCATTGGATCGTGTTGAGATCACAGATTTCAGCTGTGGTCACTATCACACAGTTGCAATTGACAGCAAAAACCGTGCGTTCTCCTGGGGATTCGGTGGGATTGGTCGTCTGGGTCACAACGAGCAACGCGACGAGCTGGTACCGCGTTTAATTAAATTTCTGGAGCCACCCTCTCGCGGTGTCCGTGCGGTACATTGCGGTAGTACATATAGCATTGCGATCAACGTACACGGCTCCGCCCTGATGTTTGGCCAGACTAAGCGTACTGGCGAAGCTAACATGTATCCCAAGCCTATCCAAGATCTGTCCGGTTGGGAGATTCGATGCGTCGGTTGTTCACAGACAAGCGTAGTAGTCGCGGCCGATGACTCCGTTATTGCCTGGGGCGCCAGTCCTACGTTTGGAGAATTGGTAAGATATTGATATTTTAGAAATATATTTAGAATATCATCAATTTTCTTCTTTGATAGAGCATACAATTAAATCAAATCTTGCCATCTATATGAAAGCACTGAAATCCTACATGCATCTTCTTCATTAATTTCGATATAATTTGTAATATTTATGGGAAGGGATTGCTTATCCAATCTCTATTTTGAACCAGACTTATTTTGAAATCTTTATTATTTATTTATTGTTATTTGGAAATTTCTGACTTCTAAGGAACGTCACAATATTATAATTAACTCATCCTTTTGAGAAATTCATTGTCTGTGCTGTTTCTCTCTCTCTATCAGTAGAATATTTTTCTAATATGTATTAATACATAAACCATATGCGAGGCAATTCCAAGAATCAAAATCTTTTGCTTGATAAGAAACTACTCTAACATCCAATTTTACAGCATTCAAAAACTATGGAATCACACAAATCACATTAGTCACATTATTTCCTAACATGTAATTTTTCTTCTAGGGTTTTGGTGAAATGCGAAAATCATCGACGACTCCGATGGAAGTAAAAGCCTTGGAAGGTTTATATATTACTGCCGTTACATGTGGTCTATCTCACACGCTTATGATCTGCCGAGACGATACTGAAGAGGAAAGAGCCAAGATTAATAAGCTCCAGGTTTATTCTGTTTAAAGTATATTCTTCGACTGTATAAACGAGTTTCTATTGCATCACTACAAATGATCGAATCGAAAAGAAAATTCTCGTTCCTTCAATGAACCACAGCTACGTTTTGACGAATTTTAACAAGATCGATGACATCCGAGATCGATGACAGTAGTAGTCACTACGAAACGTCCAGAAAAGATATAGGATTAGATATTATTCTATAATATATATATATATGTGTGTATGTGTGTGTGTGTATATATATGCATATATATGTACACACACATACACACACACACACACACACACACACTTTGTACTTCCAGTTTTTACTTAACGAGCGAAAAGTCGATCTGTGTAACATTTTGAAACTCATTCTGTTAGCAGCTCAGGATAATAGACCAAACAAGATAGATACAAAAATATATTTTGATACGTTGCTATTTTATTGAAGTTTGCCGTAATTTTCATCGGAATGGAGATAGTTATACATATGAAGAAGTTGAATTGGAAAGTGAAATCATAGAGCTCAACAGTAACTGCCTTTATTTGTATCGCTTTCTTAATAAATTTACCTATTCAAATAGTTTATATAATTGATTCATCACAGTAGTACCTGAATCATTACATCTGCAGGAATCGTTTTTTACAATGCAAATGCAGGGATAATCCCTGAATAGGATTAACGCGAGTAATTCATTATTCAACTAAGGTAATATTTTAACAGTTGTATGTGAATTAAATTTTGGTATGTGTTTTAACTACATAGGAAGATAATTTAATTTTTTTTAATACAAAATGTCGCGTATATTGAAAGCGTATATATATATTTAATTTTATTTTTAATTATGTATTTTTATGCATATAACATTTTATATAATGAATATTATATTTTAAAGTGATAAAAAAAGAGCTGTGGAAGTCGTAATTTTTTTTATTACTAGTTTAGAGAGGGAATCCCAAATTGACAGGCGACTGACTATACGTATTTCGTATTTTAAGTCTTTCTTTTAAGATAAATCGTATAACACATTTCTCTCATATATGTGTTGTACGAGATTACTATAGTAGATACATTAAAAATGTTTGATCGAGACACACAATAAAATAGAATAAATCAGAAAATGCGTTCAGTATCTGATGTATATTAATGAATTTATAATTCTAATCACTGCCAGGATGTATTACGAACATCTTTTATTGTGATGTCAGACATTCATTCCATTCCGTTCCATGTAATACTCTCGTGCAACTTCTGCACTGAAATATTCTTCTGATAAACTTGCGATGAATGTACAAGTCCAAATATGAAATAAACGAATTTTTTAAGAAATTGTTTCCATCGAAGATCTTTGTCCTATTTAGCAACTTTTAAGAAAAAATATTCGTTTTAATTTTTAAAAGATTTTATTTTTTCTTATTCAGTGTATCACTTTTTTTGCATACTTAATTTTTGTTTGCTGTAAAAGCCGATCACACATTGGCATTTTTGTACATTTCCAATAACGTTCTTTAATGCGATACAATTTCTGTTGGTCTGAACATACGACACAAGCAATATCTTTCACTACAGTTTTATTTGAGCATCTAATAAAGTTTTCTCCTTCACGTTTACGTTCTTGCTATTTAGCAAAATTATATATCTTATAAACTATTTAAACTAAAAATGATGCTTTCTATATTAATAAAAAGATCAAATGTATGTTTTTTACCATAAGCTTTTGATCTATCAGTAGCGTCTTAGAAGCGATAAATTTTTGAACATCACGTACTTCCTCTTGTGAGACATTTCCATACTTCCAACGTAGCAGTTGATGGGCTATGTAATGTATAGGATCTGATGGACAATATCTCAAAGCTCTGCTTATCGCCCATGATAGTGGCACCAACACATTTTGTCTATATATACATTTATATACGCATTATACAATTTATTACATTATTATGCTTATTTTATGCAAATTCATTAAAATGTAGTTGTAAAAGTCATAAAATATATGTATACTTCAAATAATCATTTCTTGTCAGAGCTTTACTAGCTCGTTCTTTCGGCAATAAATTCAAATAACAAGGACACAAAGCAGAATTGCACTGCATGCTTGTGACAAAAATATTTGAAAATATTATTTCATCTAAACTACAAGAACAAGATGACTTCAATGAGTTATCAGATATTGTGTCAGGGAATTTTTCTTCTAGGAAAGTAGAGTATGATTCTAATATCGTTAAATCGCAGTGACATAATATTTCCTGTTAATTATTTCAATTTAAAAACAGATTCATTTTTCTATTTACATTATTTAATATTCCTTGAAATCAATTATAGACATAAGACACCTCGGTTACTTCCAAAGCTTCCTTTTTCTTATATTCATTGTATCCAAGATCAATTAGAATATCTTCAGCCTCATCATCAATACCATTCTCTTTTATATAATTACAAGTGTCTTCATCGATCCCAAGCTTTTTCAGAAAACGGATTATTGTTGGTGAAACTGGCTTAACTTTTCCCTGCCAGTTTAAAATTCCTGGAACATCAATGCCACTCGATAAAAGCCGATACAATATATTTTTATCTTGAGACATCAGTCCACATGTAACAATAATCCAACATTGATCTTCAGTTAATCCAATGGCAGCCAGATTCCAAATAAATTTATCGTCAAGTTTTTTCATCCATGTATCTGCGTTTATTTCTACTCCAAAGTCTTGGAAATATTTCAGTTCCTCAGAAGTGAGTCTGAGGAGACCATACTTCATTGCTTTCACAATACTTTGTGGTGACATGCCTAAAATTTACTATTCAATGTAATCGAACAATAAATAACAAAGTGCATAGAATTCTCATGAGAAAATCTTGATACCTTTTTCTTCTAGTTTTAGTAAAATACATTCATTATACATTCCACTATGGATAATAAAATGTAATGATTCATCGCTTGACACATCGTATTGTGCATCATACAATTTAATATTGTTACGTCGCAAGAATTTGTCCTTTAGTAAATTGAGTAATCTATCACTACTCCATCCACCGTAGATGAATATTCCTTTATCTGTCAATTTTATATGTAACTTTGTCTCACATAACGCCTCTTCTTCTGTTGTATTTTGCATATCTGACATTTTCAAATAGATGGAAATCATACAAATTAAGAAAGTAGCTAAGTGCTAAGTCATTTTACAAAAAGATATTACAAATGTCAAAATGCAAGCTAATCATTTTAGCAATTGTTTTGGATTGGTTATTGTTCATAATATCACAGATGTGCATACGCAGTTGTAAAATGTCATTAATTATTATTTTCCATTCTTACTTACTGACAATTAAATAATATGAAAGCGAGATTTGAACGATAACGATTTTCCTTCTAAAAATATATTATCTACGCATGAATATACAAATTTACAAAATTACAGGAAAATCGAGGAGGAGGACACTATACTGAACATTTACTTAAATGTGAATTTACAACTAAATTATGTAGATTTTATTCAGATTAAACACTCACACAGACAGTATAAGCTAACGTTATTTACTGTCATTTTGACATCACTTTGCTATTTATGGTATGTATATAAAAGAAAGGCTTGTATTGCGAGCATGTATTTCAAAACATTTAATTAGCCTTTTTTGGATCCATATTTTTAGACAGTATTTTTTGGATCTACAAACTTGTCTCTAAAGCCAGCGGCACACGGTGTTTGTTTTCCTGCTGGAGTGCTAGCTAGATCAGATTCTTGCCATCGGATTGGCCGCGATATTGGCACTTTCAGCACCGCAGCCAATACGGTGGCAAGATTCTAATCCAGCTAGCAATCCAGCAGGAAAACAAGCACCGTGTGCCATAGGCTTTAATATTAATATTCTAATTGATTTATTAGAGAATATGAACTTATTTTTCACTTTGAATTATTGCTTCAGAGATATCAATTAAAAGACTTCTGATATACTATTTGTTATTAAATAAGCTGTTAAGTGTAAGTTATTCTAAATAGTTGTATTTAGATATCATGTACAGTTATTTCGAAATCTTTAGAGAAAAAGTAACATAATATATATACGTCCGGTGCACATTACTTTTAATTTCGTAATTTAGAGCGCTTTAAATTTCGTTAACTTTAAATTCATTATTACTTGAATGTAATTTTGCCAAAAGATGAAAAATTGTTTCTTTCGGCAGAAAATTCCATTCCATATACACGAATTCTAGGATACATTATATATCATTGCCGTATATAATAATATTAAGATGTCTGTAAAATATATACTCACCACTTTCTCGGCGCGTATATATTTTGAATAAAAGATACATATTATGGAACCTACAAATTAGCACACAATCGATGAAATAACGAAACAACATCCTTAGATATATTTTTACATTATAATACATGTTTTTTAAATGTAACAATGATATGCGTCAAGCGCACGTATATGTGCAAAATATAAAACGACAAACACAATCGAAAAGACTATAAAAATGTTCGAATTCACTTGTACAAAAACGTGATCGACACACACTGCTGCCGACTATGGTCCATACAAATGTCTATATACGAGCATTTCTTCAGTATTTATAAATCATGTATTTACACAAACACAAAATTTTGCTCGTCATCATAGATTTCTAAGCCAGATTCAACTTAGTCTGTAACGATAGTTTGTACGTTTAGATGTGTACTTGATATAAGCAAGCACATGCCTATCTTTGGATAAGTTTTGCACAAACTGAATATATAGCTTGTATGAAATGGTGACCTATTAAGTTTGATCCTTTTTGAGTTACACTAATGCGTGTCTCTCAAAATTGATTTTTTTGCGCAAGATTTTTAAACTTAACACATTGTATACACTATTGTTATTAGCACATGTACTTTTCACAATCGATTACAGCAAACTGCAATAACAGTTTGAATATGCATCTTGCTGTTGATGATCGTTAGTCAATTGCATCCCTCTTTTTCCCTTTCGATACCTTGCACTACCTACAGTGCCGTTGTCATACAGTCGTGTAGAATAAGTATCCCAAAGACCAGGTGTCTGTATAATCTGTTACATGCACAGTGATACAAACATATTTTACATAGCTTTATAAATAAGGATAATTATATAGAATCGTTTCCTCGTTTTAAATCTTAAAAATATACTCATTTGACATATATTTACTCAAAATGAAAGAATCTGGTAAAAAAAGCAATAAGTCATTGCTTCGCGAAAAAAGTTATAATTTGAGACTTTATCATAGAGATTAAGATATCTGTTCTTTTGTTTTGAATAAATATATATAAAATAAGTATATTTTTCAGGCAAGGAAACAATTCTAAGTAATTATCTAAATAAGTAAAAATATCAGTTACATAAATAATAAGTTAAAATTAGTATTAACAATTCAGATTGGAATATTTATAGTGATATTATAGTACAAGACAAGGCACGTACCTTTTCTTTTTAAATATCATATTAAATCTTAACGAGAGTTTGAATTGTATAATAAGTGTTTTTTATAAGTAGACTCTGTAGTGCTTGTTTATAATATCACTAGCATTGTAGTGCAATCTATCAAATCTTTTACATCATATATACTAAACTTTGAAGTTTTAGAAAAACAACAAAATGTTTTTAATTACCTATTAATCTTTACTAAAACATATATTTTTTTAAATTTTAATAGTTACTAGTATAAATTTTGATGTACCTTTTGTACAAGTTCTTCAAAGCAACATTTTACACCATCTGCCGTTTTTGCACTACTCTCAATGTACAGAGTTTGATGTCTTCTAGCAAATTGTAGGCCTTCTTCAGTGCTCACCTCTCTATTTGGCAGGTCTATTTTATTGCCTACTACCATCTTGATGATATCCGTCTTATTACAATATGTATTCAACTCATTAAACCATGTCTCTAATTTCACAAAGGTATTTCGATCCGTAACATCATACATTAGAATAGCACCCTGGCCGTCTCTGTAATAACTGGGTGTTAATGTACGAAATCGTTCCTGGCCGGCGGTATCCTGTAAATAAATAATAAATTCATAATAACTGCGTAGATCGAGTAATCCTTCTGTTGCAAAAACAAAATCGCGTTTACAAACCCAAATAGCGAGTTTCACTACATTGTCGTCAATGGTAACCTGCTTCGTCTTGTAGTCCATCCCGACTGTGCTCTGCATGTTTTCATGGAACTCATCTTCAGTGAACCTCAGAAGTATGCTAGAAATGACGTAGTAACTACAATTATAGTTTCGATGTGGGAATGAATTGCACTTCGCAAATTACCTTGATTTCCCTACGTTGGATTCGCCTATCATAAGAATTTTCAGTACCGTCAAATAGTCTTCCTGCTCCATAATAATCCGCTGGTCACAGCTGACCTCTGCACTCACGATATCAAGTCGATGTCAACTAGTTAATGTACTTTAAAAAAAAGCACATCAATATCTTTCTTTGTAACGTATACTGCGGTAAACGTCGCGAAGCTGCCTAGCATTCCACAATGTTGCCAACTCATTGAGAGCTTTTTCTACAGGTAAACTAGGGCGGTTTTACATCGTGCACCTGCTGCAGGACTAGTAACTTTCTATTGAATTATCTTAATTTCAACAATCCGTATAAATATATATGAGTATTTAATCAATCATTTTGATGTATATTATACCAATTCAAAATACATCATTCTTTAAATGCAATCCTGAAATTAAGATATAATTTTTATTAAGATATAATTTAAAGAAGCTCCTAAGGCCGCCTGTATTATCGACTAACCGTATAATTTTCATATAACAATTACTTTTTTCCTCTTTTATAATAGAGTCGAAAATCCTTTCCCAGGATTAAAGTACGCGCAATGATACGTGTCTATAAGGTGAAACAGAGAGAAACCGGAGAGTGGACATCTTGGCCTTTTTCATGTACCAAATCTCCTAGGATAATGTTCACTTTTTGTGTGGTTCTCTTCCATACCATTACGTGGATTAGACAAACATGAATAATCAACTTTTTGATGGTTCGTTCTTGTCTAATTCACGTAATGGTATGGAAAAGAATCATAAAAACGTGGACGTTACTCTATGTGATTTGGTACATGAAAAAGGTCACTCTCAGGTTTCTTTGGATGAAGTTTATGCCGGAGATCAACAAAAAAATTTCAAAAAATCGAAATCTTTTTTTACAATTTCTTAATCTAATATGGCGTTCCAGAGTTTCACATCTGATCACATCTCACAACATTCACTTTGTATAAAAGCTGTGCAATCTGTACTCACGAAATAATAATTGACAAACTAATAGTTTACACGAAGAAACAATGTGGAGTTTTTAGAATTAAACTTAAAAACATTAACACGTTATTGTTATACAAATATTTATGTGTGCGTGGCATGTGTGAGTGAAATATTAATGTAGTACATAATGTGGTGTCTATGACATGTAAATTGTTTATTTGTAAGTTCTACTTACACTTTATTACCAATATATCATCCTTAGAAACTTACTAATTAAAAGTTTTTCTCATTTTGGACCTGAACATCCAGAATTAGTGCCTGACTTGTAGCAGAGTATAGATAACTAACAAGATTGATATTCGCTGATGAAGATTCTAAATTGAATCAAAACACGCCAATTAACTACGTTATTTTTAAATTTATTGTTATTTGACTTAATCTATATAAAGGGGACATAGCGTGTTCTGATATACACTGCCAGCACTGAAAATCTACAGTATATGTAACGTGAACTATAGATTTTCTGATTTTCAGTACTGGCAGTGCATGATTGGAACACGACTATAATTAAAAAATCTTATCAAATATTGGCTTATTATTCTAATGAAGTGGCTATCCTCCCGAGAAGAGTAAAGTAAGACCTTCGGGAAGATGGAGAGAAGAACGAGAGAAGGGTGTGGGACTCATAATAAATGACAATGAGACGAAGTACTTAGAATGTTTAAGAATAGTAAGAACGTAACAGAAGGAAATCGCAGAATCATCTCGATAGCAGGATATAGCTTTGAAAGTATGCAGAGTTTTACATTATTACTTACGTGCCTACTTCGACTCAAAAAAAATTATCTGCATAAAGAAATCGCGCATAAAATCCTTAGAGCGTATATACATAGAGTTATATTGTGGTTCAAAGAATGTGAGAGAGAAAGATTTATATAAAGATGCGTGTAAAAAGGACAGATATATATTTAAAACGTTCGTCTTCTTTGCGCATGCTTTAAAATACCGAACATATGTATTCTATATATGGCAATTGTAAGAAATCGGTTTCTTATTATTTAATTGTGAGTAAATATATATGTAACAATTTATGTCCATATGTATATAGAGGTCAATAAAATTTAATAAAATTTAATTAAATAAAATTTTACATATTTCAAATAATAAAATAATTATATCTTCATTGTATAACAGCTGATACAGAAATTGACACTAACTATAAGTATACGTATATTTCGGTAGTAATATAACGGCTCTGTTTCAAGATTCAATGCGAAAATAAATAGTATACGTAACGTAAACTGTACATTTTCGGCAATGGCAGTGAATTTTGAAACATCCGGTGTTTGCAACTAAGCCACATGCGAATAGAGGGTAAAAGATGACACACTCAGGAGCACTCGAGGGAGAATCTGAGTACGCACCTAAGGAGCGTTCTGGAGTGAGTAGGAGCATATTAGAGCATTGTTATTGGAGCATATTAAAGCATGTTGTTGGAGCATATTTTATCGCATGGTATATATATACTGTGATCCTTTTATTGGGTCGGAAATCCAAAAGGGATAAGTGAATTATTTCATCTCTGTTCAACATTAACGAACAAGAAAAATGTAATATGATTCACTGTGTTATCTGTGCCTCTTATTGAAGAGCTCCCTGAGCTCCCATAATGCCTATTTACTCGAATCACATAACCTTCTCTTTCAACCAATCAGCTGATGCTATGAGAGAAGGGGAGACCCATTGGTCGAAGGACCTGTCAATCCTGTCATCTGTTAGTCGCGAATGTCGCGGACACCCTGTAGCTTTGGATCAAAGCTCGATTCCACCCGGAACCCGGAAACACAGAAGGCTCGACTTCAGGTGCGAGGGCACCACGCGGTTTCGCGGTGTGCGCTCGCAACCTGTCGAGAGGAAAAAAACGCGACATCTCTGATCGCGCGACGTACCCGTCCGTTCGCACATTCCGCACGCACTTACACACTATTACACACGCACGCGCACCACACGGTGCGAGTATTGCGAGTTACAACACCCGAGATTGTGTTGGTGATTAATCAAAAAAAGGCCGTTCGCGAAAATGGCCGATGGACGCGAGCCACGGTTGTTTTCCACGAGGAGTCTGTACCATTTGTGCGTGTCCGCAGTGGTCGATAGGTTCCGCGTCTACAAACCATACCTCGTTGACCTGCCCAAGAGCGTGCGATTCGATCTCTACTATCAGGTAAAAAGGACGTCAAGCTGTGCCGTCGTCGGCGGGACGGGGGAGAGGAGGGATCCCGTCGATCAGAGTCAACCGCGTGCGATGATAGCCAAGCTTGTTTCTGTTTCTTTGTCTCGCTTCGTCGCGAAACGGGAACGACGTCGTTAATTCGAACGCTGTACGTTCGCGACGACGGTGACACGCGATTACCCGTTCTCGCGAATGTCTGTCGAGGACCCCGACATCCACGGCGCGACGAATTCGACGCGTTTTCGCTGTGGTTCCTTCAATTGACCAATCTCGTCCCGCGATTGACTCCGATTGACTCCATCGCGTGCGTTTAATAATAACGTTTAACATACCCTTAGTTTGTACCCATCTCATCTCTTTCAGTTATACACAGAGAGGAGACTATGTATATTGGGGGCAGAATTAAGCGATCTGGAGACTTTCTCCAAGATGCTGAAGGTCACCAATCGTCGTTTACAACTCCTAAAAATATTTCAGGTGAGCCTGTCCAGTAAAAGTTCTCAAGAGCAACCTGGACCAAACTCGGATTAAATTAATCGACAATTAATTCAACCGTTAGATTGTCTACAGCAAAAATTTAATTTGTCGTTGCTAATCTAATCTTTTTTTCCATATGTTAAGCAAGAAATCATTTCCATTTAAACACAAGTATAATTTGATAGTTATTCACCGATTCAATCATTTAATCAAAGTTTGATCTAGACATCACCCTAATGTCAATTTCTGTCAATATAGATTAACTACTAGTTATCTTTTTTCAAGTTCCTAGTGCTTTTAAATTTCTAGAACTAGAAAAAGGTAAAGAATAAGTTAAACCGAGATAAATGGCATAAGATATCTGCTTTTATTTCTACAAATATAGATTAAAGTTAATTTACATTTGTAGAAATAAGAGAAGCTGTCTTATGTCATTTTTTCCGACATCAAAACATATTTTGCATTTTTGTATTTTCGGGACTAAAGGCGCCGATGGATCATAAAATAAGAATAGCGAAACATCTGGTTATCAGTTATAACATGTGCTGTTTCCAAGCGAGAGAGAGTCCTTTACCTCAGGAAATTGATAAATTAATAAATCTGGGTTTGAGACTAGGCGGATTTCTCAGTGATGCTGGCTGGTATTCAGAAAGTGAAGAAGTGTTGCTAGCTTGCAAGCAATTATGTATGGACAACAATCAAACTCCCAAGGAATGGAACAGGACATTAGATTGTTGTCACAAGTAAGAGTATTGCCATATATGCTAGTAGATTTAAAAAGATTTCGTAATTTATTTTTAACAAATGATTAATCCTACTTTTATTATCCCTACCTTTATTTACATTTTTATTTAAATTTTTTTCGCATAATATCTTTTTGCATAATAAATTTTAATAAATTGGTTCAGAAAATCGTACATTAAGCGTGATTAATGGTAACATGTAAACATAATTAATGATAAAAAATTAATTTAGATAAGATTTCGGAGAGTATACGGTCTCTTGAAATCGTACTCATAATTGAATTTTTTTGCATTGATGGCGTTTTAGCTCGGAAACTAAAATTGGACAGGTCTGCTGTACAAAATAACATAAGTAATAAAAATATAGAGCAAATTAACTTATGAAATTGAAAATAAATTTTAAAATTTATTCAGACAAGTATGTGGACGTTAAAAAAATGAACGTGAAGATATCGAGAGCAAAAAGTGTAAATAACTAAATGTGTGCAAATATTCGAATTTAAATAAGATCGATTCGAGTCATAGTGGATTCGATTCGTTTTTGAATCTAAAAGATTCGCAAACAGACCTTATATTATAATTTATCAATTCCGGGATTTTTTTGAACCTATTAGTATCTCATTTTAATTTGCAAATATCAAAAGACACAAATGCGTAACGTGTACCTATACATAAGCAATTTAATTGACAGATTTGTAGAGTATCAGGTACAGTTAGGCACTCGGTCGGATCAATCAAATCTTTAATAGGCTAAATATATATTTAATATATATATATATATACATTAAGTTACAAGTAACTTCTTTCTTTAGTATGCATTATAATTTTAATTTTCTCCTACGTTATAATATTTAATATTAAAAATTACCTTGTGTGAGATAGAAACGTTTGTTTTGTTTAAAATTTAAAATTTGTTATTAAATATATTTATTTCGCAACTCTGTTTACATAATTGTTTTTAATAAGTCCTTGTTAAAAAAATATGTAATCTTATATTTATTATTCATTATAGCTTTTATTTTTCATAATTAAATATAATATCCTGTTAATACATTTCAGATTGTTACATGCACAAGCGGCATACTGTGATTTCGACGGAGCTGCGGAGACTCACCAGCTTGCCATGGAAATGATAGAAAAGTTAAAAAGCAACCAGTACAATAATAGCAATCACGCTGCCCTTTTTGCAGAATTCAGTGTAATATTCTATATACGCAGTGAATACGATGAAGCTCATAGGTACACGCCTATCTAATATTTGTCATTTCCGAAATAAGTTATAATCGCCAGAAATTAACTTTAATCTGATTTTTTTTATAAACTTAATATAATAGGATATTTCAACCGATGTACTACGGCAATTTTAAAGATGGTTACGTTCTGTAAAGCGCATAATGCACGTATGATTTTATCTTTGTTTAACATTTGGTGAACAACAAGCATAAAATTCATCAGTGCTTAAGAATATTCGATAAATATATATTAATAGCACATATATTAATATTCATATTTTAAACAAACTATATAAATAAGAAAGTTGTATTCATATAACGTTCTATTTTTACATTTTTAGTTTATTTACTTTATTTGTTATTTTTGTTATAAATTAAAATTTTAAAAATAGTAATAGAAATCTCTAAATGTTTGAAATGAATACTTAAGTATTCTTTGCAGTGTTAATAAGTAATACTCGAGACAAAAGTATTTAAAAAAATTGAAAATTAGCTAAATTAGTGTTTTCTTATTTAACTAAAGCGATATGTAATAACATTCTACTGATGATGGTCTGAAATAAACCGAAACGTCTAGACAAATTTAACGTATAATTCGAATAAAGGACATTCGCTTATCACAACTAGCGCTGTATGCTCTTTGTTTTGGTTTTATTTTATATTCTAAACCACATAACACATTATAAAGCGATATCGTCATTGCAATAAAATTACTTAAAAAAATAGAATAAAGAATATAACTGTTGAATTTTATTTTTGATTTTCGAATGTCGTTGAAAGTATCTAATAAGAGTTATGCTGAACGTTAAATGATATATCAACAAGTTTGGCTTATTATCCAATATACTACAAATTAAAAAAGATTGAAAAATATTGCAATATATGATGAGAGTTGAAATTAAAGCAGACTATAAATTAATCCTTAATAATATTAAAAACTTATTTAAAATAATACTTTATATATATATAATGTTTCTAACATTTTTATATTACCTATCATCCAGATGGAGCATGAAAGCATTAAAACAATTAAGACCGTCGCTTCCCGCGGGAATTATTGTCGACGTTCTGAGACAAGCGGCGAAGTCGTGCGTCGTAAAACGAGAGTTCCAAAAAGCTGATTTATTAATCAAAGAAGCTGTATATCTCGCGAAAGAAATATTCGATACGGATCATCCAAAGTATAGCGACGTTCTCATCGATTATGGATTTTTCTTACTAAACTTCGATAGTATCAGCAATAGTGTAACTATATACAAGGTATGTATTTCTAGAGCTCTTTATGAATCTTCGTAATCTTTTATGAAAGCGATTGTAAAATGATTTTTGTATTGCACTTTAGACTGCGTTAGATATTAGAAGAACGATTTTCGGCAGGACTAATCTTCATGTTGCTTTGGCACACGAAGACTTAGCTTACGCTCTCTATGTACATGAATATAGTTCCGGCAGATTTGACGATGCAAGGTAATTAGAATTATATTCGATTTATAGTATATTGGCAGTACGATTTATTTTTGTATTTCAGTGAACACGCTGGAATAGCTATAGATATTATGGAGAGACATTTACCCCCGAATCATTTGATGCTCGCAAGCGCTAGGAGAATAAAGGCACTTATTCTCGAAGAAATTGCTATAGATAATGCATCCACGCCATTGTCGGAGCAAAATCTTTTACTCAAGTCCGAATGTCTTCATTTATCCGCTTTAGAAATGTCGAAAACTGCATTTGGCGAAAGAAATGTACAAACGGCAAAACATTACGGGAATCTGGGTCGCTTATACCAGAGTATGAGGAAGTTTCAGGTAACTTATATATTACACACTATGTATTTCATTATTTTGTTATATTTACAACATGCATGTACTTTAGGAGGCAGAAATGATGCACCTGAAAGCTATTGGTATTAAAGAAGAGTTATTAGGACCTGACGATTACGAAGTAGGCTTGAGTATAGGGCATTTAGCTTCATTATATAATTTTCACATGAATCGATACAGAGATGCCGAAAAGCTCTACCGTCGTAGTATCGCTATCAGTAAGTATTTATAATATATTTTAATTAATTCCATTCTGACATGAAATGCCATTGCATTTCACAAATTTCACATTGACAGGCTTGAAGTTATTTGGAGAAGGTTATAGTGGTTTAGAATATGATTACCGAGGACTTTTACACGTGTACAATAAGTTAGAGGATTACGAGAAAATATCAGAATACACAGATACATTGAATCATTGGAAAGAGCTTAGAGACAAACACGCTCAATCTGAAGAACCACCGATCGATGTACAAAAACGTCCACAACCAATCGCAAATGTAATGAATGTGTTCTTTTCCATGTGATATATCAATAAGTGTGTCTAATTCAAATTTTATGTCGTTGTATGTCATCGAGCAACTTGCTGGTCTCCGTTGCGTTTACAAGACATTGGGCCAAAGTAGAAAGGAAAAAAGTTATAACTGGATTGTATGAAAATCATTATAGAAATTTGTAAATCACTGATCTGGTCATATGCATTAATAATTTCATCTGTCTTATGTCGATATTTTATAACGTGCGTAGTATCAATATCACATAACAAACAAATTGAATCATTATCAATATTGAATTCAAAGTATATGAAAATATTAATTTAATTTATATAAATTATTTTTATTAGTGAGATGATATTGCAATATAAACATTGATGGGGCTTTTTTTTTTAGTTGAGTTGCTTATGTTGAATTATATTTAGACTTGATATCTCTGTGTTTTATTTCGATGTATTAAAAATTTTTGCGCATAATATATATATATATCTTTTTTTTTAATATTTTGTATTTATATATAAAATTTTAATATAAATTTGCTAATGTTTAATCTGATTTGCATATATTTTTATGTACACATATATATTTATATATATATATAATACACACACACACACACACACACACACACACACACATACAGGGCTGCATTCGGAAATATCACTTAGGTTTTCCCGAATATAATTTTATCTTTGTTGTTCATTCAATATTAAACAAGGAGATAAGTCGATACACAGGGATACTCAGATGATATTTCCAAACGCAGCCCAGGATGTCCCAAAACATTTGGAACAATCTTCGTGTACAGAGCGGACTATACCGCGTACTAAACCAAATCGAAAAGTTTTTACCATTATTTTCGCAGTAATATTAAATAATTAACAAGATATTAATTTCTAAAAATCGCGTGTCCAAATGCAGACGCTTGACGAAATAGCAGGAAGTTATTTTCTTTTGCCACCGTGTGTAACTGCCAATTGTAATTTGTAATAAATTTCCCACGCGACTACGGTGGGTGTAAATTTGGCGATACGAATAAATATCCGCTTATTCGATGAACTTTAAAAATTAATATCTCGTTAATTATTACAAAAATTGTAAAAAGATGGATAACTTCGATTCACAGTTCCATTCTATTTGCATACGAAAATTTTCCTAAATATTCTGGGACACTGTGTGTACGTATTAGTGCGTGCATACATATGTGTGTGCTCACGTGTGCGTAATACTGAATCGTAAAGTATGAACATAGAAAATGCGTTTCACCTTTTACGCTCACATGCTGTAAGCATCATTTCATTCTTATGTATACATTATTATTCTATCAAATAATAAACAAGAACAAAATGATGTTTACAAGCGCTACGAGAGCAAAAACGAATGCACCCATATATACAGATATGATATAGATGTTCATACTTTACAATTCGCTATCGATTACTGAACTACTTTCAGAGTTGCTCAGGTTTCATATAAAATATTTTTTTATGATTGTTTATCAAACACATTTATAATATGTTTAATTCATTGTTTATCTCAAAATTACATTCATCGTAGATCTTCACGCATTGCATAATTTTTAAGTAATAAAAAAATATTCAAAATACATGCACTTGTGTTTATAACAATAATGTAGTCAAAGAGATAGGAATTAAAACTCGGTGAACAATTTGTTGAACAGATGTTTTGCTGCACAAAGTTACCTTCTCACTTTGTAAATTTTGACATCTAAATTAAAAAATACCTCCTATATATATCCTATATTTTTTCTAACATTTAGTTCTTGTATAAATATTATAATGAATACAGATAATATTAAAAACTATAGACGCGCGCGTGTGCTTGGACTGCTGCTAGAGTTATTTTGAGATCATAAAATTTTCTAATTCTCACTATTTATTATACATATAGTGTTTTTGTAATAAATGTTTTTGAGGATTTTCGTATCATTTCAATTAAAAAAGTTTATTTAGGCACTCTTTAGATAGATATCAAATGATAGGATATTGTAATCCATCCAATGCAAACTTGTATAACTGAATAAATAGTAGAGCCTCTTTAATAAATTCAGATAATATAAAGGTAGCACGCGCTCAAGATATAGTTGACAATATATAATCTATTTAGCGATATTGTTTATTAATTTCTGAAAATTTAAATAGATTTTTATAAATCTAAATAGATTACTTGTTATCAACTGCACTTCAAATTGCTCTTGTATTGTCATTACATTATTGATTATTGTATTATAGTTAGCAGTTATAAGATAAGATAAATTAAATTAATTATATATTTTATTTTGTTTTTTTTTTATCAACAATGAAAAGTATCAATTCAATTTTTTTACATTAAAAAAAGATTGCAAATAGAAAATTAAGTAAATTAAAAATATTTTATCAAAGAGTTAAATATCTGTTTAGACTGATAAAATTCTCAATCAAAAATCTGAGATCCATAATTAAAAAAGACAAGATAATGTAATATAAATACAATATTTTTCTGTATAACTCACATACATTCAAAAGCTTTAATCTGTTTAAATTACAGTAACCATTAGGTAATACATAACTTTATATTTACACGATATTTCTTTATATCACTCCGGTTTTCAGGTAATAGGAATCTTATCTAATCCAATTTTTATGGTATCAACACTTCTTTCTCTTTCTCTCTGCAAACAAAAGAATCAATATTAGTCACTTAATGATCGGAATATTTTTTAAGACGTACTAATCAACGTATTACCGGACTGATATTGCACATCTCATTAAACTGTGTTAAAATTCCGTAACTTTAGAACATTTAATCGGGTGTATGTGGAGGTTCTTGGCTGAAATATGGTGCGGTATCTTGCACTAATAAAGTATGACAAACATCACAGACTCTGGATGGTCTTTGTTTCGGCCCACTGTTCACAACGTGTGAGAGGCAAGATTGACAAAATATATGGCCACAGTGACGACAATGTACCTACGGACATTAAGCCTCTTTAATTTCATTATACGTTATATGTACAGGATGTATCCAGCGCTGCCATTCAGTCACTTTTTATCGCTTTTTTTATCAATTAAAAAAATCACTATTGTTCAAATTGAGTCACTATAGTCACCCTTTTTCTTAAGTTGTGGCTTGAAATTTGTATATAAATTAAAAATGGTTTATTCATATTTTGTTATCTCATTGGATAACAATTGCTCTTACTGGACATTAGTCCAGTGTTTCAGCATCTGATTACTAGGATCCGAATGTTTGATTTCTTGCAACGCAACGTGTTGCATGCGAATAAAATAACGTTTTATGAAAAGATTCAACGTCTGCCAATCATATCTATCCAAACGCAATCTCACTCTCACGCAGTTATACTTAAACTTTCAATTGGTAATTGACTCTTCCATTGAGTATTGTAGAATAAATGGATATAAAAATTGTCGACTCAATTTTGAATAGAAATAGCGCTTTATAATTACTAGATGCTATTTAAGATATACCTTGTATAGGCGTGTGTGTGTGCATGCGTACATATCGTAACAATTTAACTTGTACTTTTTCAACTTACCTTCTTTTTTGTAACTGAAAACGTGGTATGGCAACTGGGACACTCTTCGATGTCCTCTTCATGTTGCCATCTTACTTCACTACCTGCCTGTCTAATCCTTTCCAGTTGTACCTATAATAATCATCATATAGTAATTATCAAAAAATAATTATTTTGTATATTATATTTATATTTAATATAATTACTTTGTATGTTATATTTCTATTTATAGCTTGTAACATTTATGATATACATATAATGAGCTATCTTTTATTCATATATACAATTTTTTTCGATATTTTGAATCAATTTTATATCTTGATAAAATACACAACTTTGAATTTTCACTATTCATATTATTTTTATTACCTGTAATGATTGTGATAATCTAACAAAGTCTTTCTGTACTGCCTCGCTAGTATCTAATTCTTGCTGTAAACTCATAACTCTTTGTCGTAGTTCACTTATAACTGAATCTGCATCCTTCTTCTCTTTTTGAATTTCTTGTAGCTGTTTTTCCAATCGATCAAGTTTCTCTTCTCTATCAGCGAGTGTACGATGATCTCTTATGTATTTATCTAATTGTGCGCTATATATCATTAAAGTAAAATTATATTAATGCTTATTAAACAAAGTAATTGATAATTTTGTTGCACATATATAAAGTCAATATATACAATCGCTCACCTCAATCCACTCATTTCATTCTTTAATACAGCAATATCCTGCTCTTTAACTCTACTCTCTTGCTCCATTTGTTCTCTCAATAAAGTAACTTCGTATCGCAATGTCTCTTCCTTCTCTTGTGCAACTTCTTGAGCTACTTTGGCTGTAATTAAATCTTCACGCACCTTTAAAAGACTCATATGCAATTCCTCAACAGTGTTTGGCATGTTGATGCTTTCACTTTGAAGTTGTTGTGAATGTTTACTATGTTTGCCCACAAGATTTTCATTCTCCATCTGAAGTCTGCAAGCATATATCAGTCGACTTGGAATAAAAATCTTTATCAATAATATACTGTAATATTATCTATATTTCTTATTTTATGTTATTTAACTTTTGTGTGTGTGTGTGTGTGTGTGTGTGTGTGTGCGCGCGCGCGCGCGTGTGTGTAATACAACTAAAAATTTGTTAGAAAAGGATCATCTTACATAGTGAGATGTCTCTGTACTTCTTCTCTGCCTCGTGTCAATTTACAAAGTTCCTCCGATACGTTTCTTTGAATTTGTTCGAAAGTTTTCTTTAGTTCTAATAAATTTTGTTGCGCCGTCTGCGAGGTAACAGTGAGTTCCGCAACTTTGATTTTATGCTCTTCCTTCTTTTCATTCCATTTTTCCTCCATTTCTTTCCGGAATTCAACTTCCTTAGCTAGATCTTCTTTTTGAGCTTGCAGCATACGTTGCGAGTCCAACAGCTGTTTCTCTAAATTCTTGGCAGTCGCTTCTACTTTGACTAATTGTGCTTCATAGTTTGCACACATATCACACGACGGCTCAAAGGAACCAGGTTCCTGCTGCCGTTTCTTTAATAGAACTTCTTTACATTTTTGTAACTCGTCATCGGTTGACCTTAGTTTCTCTTTTAAAGCTTTTATTTCCTCCTCAAGTGGCACAACCAACGAACGTAAAACTTCAGCATCTTCTTGCGCCTATGAAATTACACAAATATTATTACTGAGAGACAAGTAACTTATCTAAAGAAAAATGTTAGTGTCATTTAAAGTTATCACAAAAAAATACAAACACACGCATGTACATACACACATAAATTAATCCTCTGTTAGAATCATGCGACACCTTCCATCAGCAAAGTGGACTTTTTGAACTTCAGTGCAAATTTTTATATTGTTTTTAATCATATATAGAATTTTAAAAAATTCTTATATACTTGTGAAAGCTTCAATAATGAGTTTTTACTAAAAATCGGACTATATTTTAGTTATTTATTATAAATTTTAATTTTTTTTAGAATTCTCAAAATCGAAATATATCAACTATCCCTTCAAAGTCCAACTTGGTCACTTAACAGAAGGTTAATTGTGCAAGGGTTATAAAAGCCATGCAATTTTAGATTTACGTACATATTTTTTTACCTTCCGCATGCTTTCTTCTAAATTGTCAGGACCTAAAGATAAAGAGTCCGCGCCTAATTGTGAAACCACTTTTCTAGCTAATGTTTTAGTTACTGTAGACAGTGAAATTTGAGGTCCATCTGTTGGTGGATCACGTGGCAATTGCGTTTTTAGTATCATGTTCTCTTCTTGAAGCTTAGAAAGAGCCAATTGCAATTTGGACACTTCATTAACAAGCTGTTTTCTCGAACAAGAAGATTCCTCTACTGTTTCATGTATAACTTGCTGTAAAGACGCTATCTCTTCCTGGGCCTTCCTTTTCTCTATCAATATATGATTTTGTATTTTAAGATCTGCAACGACTAGTTGGCTCTTAGCCTCATCCAGCTCATTCTTCAGTCTTAGATTTTCCTTTTGTAGGCCCATATTTTCCTCCAGTCTCCGCTTTAACTCCTCTACAAAATACATTAATTTTAGACTCGGTATAACTGCCAAAGAGCTACTTGCCCAGAATTGAAGTTGTACATGCTACATACCTTCTTTCTGAAGGAACAACTCTTTCATCTTGGCCCTTTGTACATTAAACTCTTCTCGCATCTTAACGTTCTCTGACTCCAATCGGCTGATCTTCGCCTGTGGATCCTCTGAATCATAACAGATACTCTTAATGAAATTAAATCACATTGTGAAGGGATTCTCTACATTAACGAATGTATGACGTCACAAAAAAAGCCTGACAAATCTGGATAAATCGTGTTTTCTTAAATCGTACCGTATTTAAATATCTTGTTTTCAAATTTTTTTCCTTCTAACTATCGCGGCGACGATACCAACAAGGACTTAAATAAGGACTACTGTTCGGTGACATACCGTTTCCGTTTGCTTTCACCGTCCGATCGTCCTGGTTCTCCATTGTATGATCACTTGGCGCGGACGAGAACGATAATTTTGCCGGGGTGGATCACTGCCACAAACAATGATTCAAAGAGCATATCCCGGAGCTCAGCCGGGACTGGCCACCTCTCGACGACGACGACAATAATAACGATGACGGCGACGGCATGCCGCTGATCAGTGTCACTGACTCATAGTGACTCAACAAAACCAGATTCAAAATGCAAATAAAGACTCGAGAATGAAAATCAACGATAAATCGGTTTACGGAAGCGAACTCAAGAACCGGAAGCGACCTTGCTTGTTCATCTAACGACTTCGCTGGATTTCGCAAGCAATTCTTTGAACAATGCGCCTAACACTCATGTATATTTAGCAAGGCCCACTGCTTTTTCCGGCTGCACCTCCTGACACCTTCCGCGTTTGCTGTTTTCCGTCCTTTACGTTTGCTTTATAGCTCCAACTAGTTCCAACCTCCAACTAGTATGTAGTATACATGTAATGTGCACTTATGCATTCATACGTACTCAGGAAATTAAATAGTCACCTATAGAGTATTTAATTTTAAGTATGTGTATATCTACAAGTGTACATACATGAATAGCAATACTTAAAGTTCGATAAAAGCAAAATAGAAAATTTTAATGCAGTCCAGTGCAGCAATAAAAAACCAAACCTCTTCTTTTCACAGGAATTACACTCTCCGTTATACACCCTTTCACTTTTCTGCCTATCCAAAGTGTAGAAACGTCGCAAACGTATGATTCAAGCAGACTCAACAGTTTTGCAACTGTTTTATGATTCGTCTCGCTGATTGGATTATACTTTTAGATCTAAAGGAATAGTCCTACCTCAGCGAAGAATCATAAAACAGTTGTAAAACTATTGAATCTGCTGAACGCGACCATTCTCCGCGCGACATTCTTCCCACAATGAAACCTTAAGATACAATGATAAATACAATGATAAGGCGTAACGCCGCCTCCACATGCGAATTAAGAGCCGCGTTGACGAAAGCATCGCCACAAGAGAACCTGCCTGAAAATCCCCTCCTGTTGTGCAAGCATCCCTTCCTACTGCGCAATAGGGCCCAAAAATGCGTGGGAGTAGGGCGACGGACTCTCAACCCACAACCCCGTCTGATTCCGGCATTTCAACTGTGCGGTTTGTTTTCCTCGGGACACCGTCTGCGACGCTATTTGTGTGTAAGACCACGTGTGAATTTTCCTATTTCCCATTTCCAAATCTATTCTCGCATTCTAACTCCAATGTTAAAGAGAACCCGCACGCATTGGGTTCTCTCTTTATTGCGAATTTAATTTACACTTGCGACAAGCTCTATAGTTATAAATAAACTATGACCCGTATTCAGAACGCGCTAACAATTCGATATTATAGCGCGCTAACATGCTATAGTTTACGTCACGTATACTATAGAATTTCAGAGATAAAAGCACATACTGTGATAAAAGTGCGTTCTGAATATGGACCTATATAAACATTCTCTAATTCTTTATTCAAATGTTGAATTATATCCTAACGTCTCGCGTAGTTCTATTTCTAAAGGAATTTATATCCTTAATCGTAATTAGTGGCCTGATAAATACTGATAAATGCTTATTAATATTTCAATAATAAAGAATTCAAATAATAATAATAGCGACGATTTATAATAATTGGATTTATCTTGAATTGTGAGATTGAACTTAATTAGTTATAAAATATATATATATATATATTTGTATTTTATGAAATCAGAAACGGAAATTGTTTAACGTCCCTACCATCGCTTCCACATCCCATTTCCTTTACTTTCGAACACGGACTAACACGAGGCTTGTGAAGCACACTGGTCCAGTATCCGAATCTACCAAGGGAAGGATTTAAGCTGCATAAGTATCATCATGCGAGGATCTACAATAAAAGTAATTACCGAAGCTTCTCCACTTATTTCAATTGTAGTACTCAACGTTGGCCACGTGGGACGCCAACGTCGCCATATTCGGACTCAATCGTTATGCTAGCTGGAGTGCGTTCAGAATCGTCGTCCGGATGTACCCAGATGTTGTTTTATCCTTGTTGTTCACAAATGATAAACAAGGATAACACGACACCTGGGTGCACTCAGATGATGATTCTGAACGCAGCCCAGCTGGCATAACGATTGAGCCCGAATATGGTGTCCCACGTGACCAACACGAGTGCTACAATTGAAATAAGTACATAAACACGTCATACGCCAAAGCTTGTGCGTTATTTACGTCTACAACTTAAATATATCGTAAAATGTTACGGCAGTGCTTGTGCTCAGACCCTTCCGCTTTTCCGTCAAGGTCAAAGGTGTGAACCCGGCCTACACAAGCATCTAATTATGTATGCTTTCCTTTTAGAGGACACACTCGACACAAACATCGTTCTATCTTTATCATTCGTTGAATGTTAAGAAGGATAGAACGACGTTTGTGTCGAGTGTGTCATCTAAAAGGAAAGCATACTATATGTATACATATTATACATACACCGCGTGTATGTATAATATGTCGCATACCCTCGTTCCTCGTGATGTAAAAATTTCAGTTGAAGGCGTGTCGCGCGACGCGGCTCGACGTTAAAAGAATTTCGCAATTCGCACGAAACTGCACGAGCGAGCACGATGTGCTCGCTCAAAGAATTCTACTCATCCGAGGAATCCGTCGATTTCTGAAAGCCCCCAGTCGGATGACTCAATCAGGTTGGTGAAGCCGCCGGCGGTTGAATCCTCAGGGCTGGGGTACTATTCTGTAAACTGTCTTTACACGTATACCGACAGTTGTCGGTGTCGTTGCGCAGCTTTTTTGCCATACAAAATATCTGCGCAATGACAACTGTCGATAGGCGCGTAAAAATAGTTACAGAATAGTACCCCTGTTCGGCAACTTTGCCGAATTATTATTAATCGATCGATTGTTACGTTGGAACTGACCAATCGCATTTGCAGTTCGGCAGAATTAACCAATTACGATTGCCACTTAATCGACCGTTTAGGTTAATCGGAGTTGGTGAGACCGCGACGGCGCGATCCTGCCGAGTATGTTCTATCTTTATTATTTATTGAATGATGAACAAAGATAAAAGATCCTCGGCGGAGTTGACAATCAAGTTTTGGAACGCACCCCCCGCGCCTGCCGACCCATAAAAGTGTAGACGCGTGACTCGCGTGAGCCGCGCATATGATGACGATGTGATCGTCGCGTATGGATTCCTCCTGAGTCACGATTCGCTTCCGCGAGTCTCCCATGCGAATTCGATTCCACCTAAATGCTCGTCAATGCTCATCGCGCCGTGTGGCGCCGTCGAGTTTGAGAATTAGGAGAGGTAGGTATCTCGTATTTATATACGCAGTTGCGTTGCGCATGGTCGTGCGTCCTGGTGCGTCGTATGTACGGTCGTGGATGGTTCGTCTGAAGTTTGATGCCGTTGCGTTTGTCTGCCAGTGCGCCGACGTCGAGAAAGATGTCATCCTGTAATAGTCCTGGTCGGCAGTGATACAGATCTTGATTGATTTGTTTTTTTAAGGAACGGCTGTATTCGATAAATGTCATGAGCGTATTTTGGAAATCCTGGAGGAACGTCCAGAAGGTGGAACCGACGGATTCAGCGATCATGAAGAGTGTGGACAGCAGCGTAGATGACTTTGACAAGCTGTCTGACTTCAATCCAAATTTATTAATCATGAAGAAGAATATGTTGATGAACTCTTGCACAAAGTGCCATAATAACAACAACAAGAGTTTCTTGCTGCTAGATGGACAGGAGAATCTACAGATCTCCGACGTAGAAGAGTTTCTGAAAAAGTTAAACTGTACAGAAAACAATATTAAAGTCAAAGTTGTTTCGATATTTGGAAATACAGGCGATGGGAAAAGCCATACTATGAACCAGATATTCTTCAAGGGCGAGGAAGTATTTCAAACATCCAACGAGCAGAATTGTTGTACATTAGGAGTCTGGGCAGCGTTTGATCCAATTCTCAATGTTATTTGCTTAGATACGGAAGGTTTACAAGGTACATATCTTAGCACTGAATATTGTCTTGTCTCCAGATTTTATGATTGTTTTTAAGTAAAATTAATTGTCTGCTAAATTCAACAAATTTATGTTGCTACGTTATGATGTTTGTATAGGTATTACTAATTGTGAAAACGAACGGACAAGATTGTTACTCAAGGTACTCGCAGTCTCTGATATTGTGGTTTACGGAATCCATTCCGAAAGATTAAACAGGGATTTGTTCACATTTTTGGGCGCTGCATCGCGTGCTTACAGTCATCACTTTAAAACCACTTTACAAACAATAGGACATAAAGGAGGAATCTCTACCTCATTGAGCACACTTGGACCAAGTGTTATAGTGCTGCATGAAACTAAACACACCATACCTTTGATCAACAGTACATATTGCTACTCTCTCAGAATGACAGTAATTTCAAACTGAGAACTTTATTATAATTAATAATTGCTTTGCCATTGTGACATGATATATCGATGGATTCTTTTATAGATGAATTGGAAAGTGCAGAAGATATTCTGAAAGCTAGATTTGCACAGATGAGCCTAGAAATTGGTGCTTTCAGCTCTATTAAGTATATCGGTTTGCAAATGGTAAACGGCACGACGGATTATGAACAATTACGATCCGCAATTGATAACGAATTGAATAACACGACAGTTCGCTCAGCCAGAAAACCACACCTAGTGTATAATATACTTAAGAACCTGAACAATCAGCTATCAAGTGAAGTAGAAAATGTTTCAAATACTCTATTCCCAGAACAGTATTTTACTTGCTCTATTAAATGTCTAAGTTGTAATAATGGCTGTAACAATAGTATGGGACATCTTAGTAAAGGAAAGCCACACAGTAGTAATGCTAGGTTGGTATATAGATTTTTTTTTATATTGCTTTAATCAAATACTTGGATTAATGGTGTTTGTTGTAATAGGTGCAAATTCCAGTGTCAGTATGAAAATTTGATATACATATGTAAAAGATGTTACAAAAATGGGAATGAAATTGAGGTGAGTAGACAGTATTATGAAGATCAAAACAATTGGTACAGTTTTGCTAAAAATGCCTGGTCAGGATATGTTATAAACTGTCCACACTGTGGCGAAATATACAAAAGCAGACAGTATTGGTATGGTAATAATCCAGAGGATGTTGCTATACGTAAAAAGATTACTCATGTCTGGAATATGGTAAGAATCAGAAAAGCTTTTTTATTTTAGGAATCACAAATAATTTTGTCATTCTGACAGGGTCTAAAATAAGTATAAATTCAAGACTTTTTTTAGTTAATTATGCCTAGAATTAATTCTTATTTTAAGGATATGTTATACAATATCAGAATTACAAATTTGCCAGTGTATTAAAAATTTTAAATAAAAAATATTGAACAAAAAATTCCTATAAAGCTCAAAGGTAGGAATAATTTGAAATAAAGTGAAATATTTTATTGTAAATAGATACAATGACTAAGATGTAACAGAGGAGTTTTTTGTTGAAAATTATGTAAAGTAGCTTGTGTGATTTAAAAAAAACGAAATTTTTTACCTTAAAAAAGAAGTTAAAATGGATTCTAAACAACTGAATTAAGGTTGCTGAGTAATCGCGACGGTCATGTTGGAATTGTGACGTCATAAGCGAAAAATGCACATAAATTTTTGTCGCGTGCCATTTGTAAATAAAGACAACTTGGATAAATGTAAATGATGAGATCGCTTAAAAACACTTGTAAAAATGAGTGGAAATTATTCTTTCCTCCTTTGATAGTCAGTAAATGGTCATAAAAAGCACGTAAAGCCTATACTCTGGCAGAAACACACAGTTTAACAGCTGATGAAACGAGTGAAATATACGCTTTTATGTATAAAATTTCAAGATAACTAGTTTCCGCTCATTTTTGGGACTTTCATGAGTACGAGGCAAGTCATATTTTCACAAATAAACAAATGTTAACGAAATGGCACGTAACAAACATTTTGTTAAAATCATTTACACGCCTATTGTTTTTTACCGTGGCGAAGCGCTATATACACACACAAAAGCATGAGTGCATGCTGTGTACTCGCCGAAATGAGCACACGGACATGAGCTCGTACTTATGTGCAACTATCAGTTTTGCCAGGCCGCTGATTAATTCGGTGTCGCTATCATCAACACGGAGTTCTTGGCTGAGTACTCAAGAGTCTTAACATATTAAAAATTCTACGCTATAGCTATTTTATCATCTGTTTACAAAAAAAATATTTTACTTATTTCAGACCATTTCCACCTTTGAAAATCTGTCATCTGCAGAAGAAGCATGAATTCTACAGTTTCCCTTTTTTTTATTTAAAATTTTTAATATTATTGTAGTTCAAATATTGTACAATATTCTCCTAAAATAGAAATTAATTCAACACATAGATTAAATTAATTTAAAATTGAAATATTTTTGCATTTATGCTTATTTTAGATCCTGTCAAGATGAGAAAATTATTTTGTCATTTATGCATTTCAATTTCATTATGAAGTGATTTTTCAATATCCATAATCTATTTCAGTCAAATCGTTCTGTAGCTTCTCAAAATACAGCACAACGAGTTATCGATAGCGTTTCATACATCACTGAAGCCATGACGAACGTTTCTCTGCAGCCGACGAAAGCGTTGAAAGCCTGGGCTGCAGATCAAGTGGCACCGTCTTATTGGCGACCGAACAATGAGATAAAACACTGCTATCAGTGTAAAATTCTACTCAGTCCAACAGATGACAAGCACCATTGTCGCGATTGTGGAGAGGGCTTTTGTGCGCAATGCTCGTCAAAAACAAAATGCGTGCCAAATAGAAATTGGTACTCGCCCGTTCGAGTTTGTGACACGTGCTACGAGAAAGAGATAAATTGTTCCAGCGATGAATCCCTTGAACCTGTGGAAGATGTCGGCGTGCGAAAAGTAACGGAGCACGTGATGTCGACTCTTAATGTCGTTGGAACAGTATTCACTTATTCCAAATGTGAGTAAAAATGTTATATCACAAACTCGTATAATTCTCAGATAAATTCTGAATATATTTTGTTTGTACAGCCTTTATAAAAGATTCCGTTCGACCATCTTATTGGATACCGGATTCGGAGGTAGTTAATTGTTGTGTTTGCGAACGAAAATTTTCCGACATACTTTCTCTACATCATTGTAGAGCTTGCGGACGTGGCGTGTGTCAGGAATGTTCGCAACATCGTAAACCTGTACCTCATCGAGGATGGGATCATCCTGTAAGGGTATGCAACGCCTGCGTTTGAAATCGTTGGACATGTATCTCTTAAAGAAAACAGTCCAAAAATACAGAAATCTTGGAGAAAAAAAAATATTCGTTTGAAATGAAATAAACTTACTTATTTCACATAATGCTTGTAAGCAAGGCTGGACATGTATTTAAAATACTTTTTTTGAAAAATGATATTTGTAAGACAATTGTATCTTGGATTTTGTATTTTAGTGGGACACATAAAAATGTTTTGTATTTTATATTTTATGGGAATATATGAAAATATTTTGTAATAAGATTTTCAATTATTTAAATTATAAAATACATAAAACTTTCAATTTTACAAATATACAAAATATGTGATACTTTCAATGTGCACTGCTGAAATAAAATATGAAATACACTTCTATTGCAAAAATTGTGGTTTAAATAAAATATTACAAATACATACTCAGCTTTGCTTGTACGATCAGAAATTGTACTGAGACTTAATTGTAAATGTAGAAAATCTTAGATTTGTCTAGCCTAATCGCGCAGTTGACCACAATTTTTTTGAACGAATCTTTTAATGTTATTAGGATTGTAACTCTTAAATTCTAAATAAAATTTTTAAATCGATGTTTTTTACTTCCAACAATACATAATGTAACAATACAAATTATTTTATCATATGACAGCTTTATAATGAGATATCTGAAAAATATAGTTCTAGTACTTATGCAGATTGTTTGAGAAGTAATGAAAGTTTATCGCGTAAAAGTAGAACAGATTAAACTGAGAAGAAAAGTCCTCTACCATTTTTACAATAGTTAACATCCAAATTCGCCCGGCCCACCGCCAAATGCAAGCGCGGCTGGATATGACAGCCCAGCGAGGCGCGCCGCGTGCGTTCGCCATCACTAGGCACGCGTTGTTTGTAACAAGTGGCAATGGACAATGGTCTAGCGACGACCATTGCCACTTGTTATCAACGCGTAGTGAAAATTGTAAAATGGTAGAAGACTTTTTTTTTCAGTTTAGTCTACCCCTATGCGATAAAACTTTTCATTCTCAACACCCTGTATATTTTTAATATAACATAAAATAATTACATGTTTTATTTATATATTTAATAGGATAATGAGAATTTTAAAAAGACAATAGGTGTATTCGTTGAAATAGTTAGTCTATACAAGCAATTGAATATGATTGATTTGAATCAAAATGATTTTTATTAATTGCAATCAACTGCTTGGCAAGCAAGCTCGCTGTTTTGTCTAGCTTGAATCGTCGATTATTTGATGATTCAAATCTCAAAAAACAAGAGAGTATCAGCTGAATTTTTAACTTATTAAGTTAACAAAATTTGAAAGTCTGTAGTTGTTTGAAAGCTGTACCTTGTTTAATTTAGTTTTTGTAATTAGAAAATAACTTTGTGAATACATAAATGTACATAAATGTATGATTGTGCATAAATGTATAATTATGGTCATTATTATTTGGAAGTATCTTCTTGAAGTGTATTAAAAACACAGCTATCTTTAATATACAATTTTATATCTCTAAAGGATATAGGTCAAGATTACGCTTAAAAATTGTTTGCTGTTCTATACATAGTACATGTTAGCAGTTGTACATATGTATAGTTCTCCTTTAGTAATAGTGATCGATAGTTGTAAGAAAAAAAGAGAAACTTGTTTACAAGAAATGTAAATCTCGTGGCTGTGACAATTGTTAATACCGGCATAGCATTTGAAGATGTGTTAAGTATCAATAGAACGGTGGACACGTGATAGCACATCTTCGAACGTGAGAATTGTTACTTTTATTTTGTTCTGTATTATAATAAGCAGCGCTTGAAATAAAGTTCGAATTCTCGAAGTCGTTGCCTTATTTTATTTATATTCAAAAATTAACCGTTGTTACATGCATTATATCATCAGGATATTTACTACTTGAAAAATATAGAAATTTCCTGATAAGGAAAGGGACCCAGCTGTTGTCCTTTGATAAGCTTTTAGTATATTGTTCTCCAGACAAAAATAAGAAAAAAAATGTATTTTTTTATACATGCTCAATCACACTTTTAAAAAATGAAACACTTTCGAAAAAAATTGATTTTTTTCTTTTCTAAGCGAACATATTGTAGAAATCATAAGAAATAGAAAAAAATTACCACAATAAAAATTGAATGGCTTAAAAAAAGAGATGCTTTATAATTAAAAAATTTTTATTTGCTATTTGTAAATAAAGACAATTTGAATAAAATGAAATAATGGAATATATAATTTTAAAACAATTGTAAAAATTATGGATAAGTTATTATCTTTATTCCTCCTGACAGTAATCAATAAATAATCTAAATAATCGTAAAAAGTGATAAAAAGCACATAAATGCTTTTATTCAATGCGCATGCGTAGCCTATTTTTCACGTACATTTTATCACTTTTTACGATTATTTACTGATTGTTAGAAAGGATAAGCATAGTTTTCATTCATTTTTACAAATATTTTAAAGCTATATCTCATCACTTTGTTTGATTCAAATTGTCTTTATTTACAATGGCACATAATAAAAATTAACGTGTCATTTTTCGTTTCTGAATTATTCAGGAGCTTTAGGTATTCACACAAATTTGCATAATCGCAGAAACATATACATAGTAACAATTATCCAATCAGATTTTTATCATAAGGATGATAAATAAAGTACGTTTGGATAATTTTCTTTATGCGGCTACGCGAGTTGTGTGGATATACTCTTTAAGTCCTGTGTCCACGGTGCTAGACTGGCTAAGCTCGGCCCGATTTTTGAATCCAAGAATGTGTAGCTGGTTTAGCCAATTAACATGTAATTTTGACGGGGTAAGCACGGACAACAGAGTTTTAAGCCTTAAGCCATAAGGAATGGACGAATCATAGTCGATTATTCTCCTCGAATTCGACTGTAATTGGTTAATTTCTTCCAGCTTAGGGCTTAAAACACGTATTGTAGATCCGGGGTAATGGATTCAAGTTGGCAAAGCGGCTAGATCTATTTCGAGCAATTAAACAACATTGGTTGGATCCACAAGTAGAGCCAGCCAGTTTCTAGCCGCTTTGCCGATTTAAAATTTAAACTCGCTCATTCAGCAAGCCGCAGTCTGCATTCCGAAATCCATTGGGCGCGTTCAGCGGACTCGACAGTCGAGTGAGAGCGCTCGCTGTTATTGGTGTATTCTTCTAGATCTAAAATTCTGATTGGATGATCTACAAAAATACCCCAATAATAGCGAGCGCTCACTAAACTGTCGAGTCCGCTGAACGCGCCCATTAAAAATAAAGTGTTGCAACCTTTTTGCGATCGGCTGTACCACTGATATGTACTGTACGTGATGACGTTAGAATATGGCGTCTCGATCAGCTGGATGTTGTATAGAGTGTGTCTGCCTGCGATGCCTGCCGTTTCGCGAAAACTAACGAAGACTACCGTCTGCATCCCGCCGTGATACGTGAGTTCGTCTCAACAACGTTCGACGATCGCACAGCTTGGTTTTAGTTCGGTGGCCGGTATTTTGCGGGGAAAGAAAGAGAATCGCAGCACGCGAAACTCACGAGTGGTGCGGACACGGCGACACGAGAGAGAGATAGATAGATAGAAAGAGAGCGCGACGCGGAGACGCAAAAGTGTACACGGATGGTACTGGATTCTCGGTGGGGCGTACAACTCGACACGGCAACGAACACGTCGTGCACGTGAAACACGCGTTCGCAGCACGTCCCGAGCCGACGAGACGAGGGTGTCCGTGCAAAGAGTGTTCCGACGTCCCTCGAGGGGTCTCGACGGCTGGCCTCGTGGCACGCGAGGGTCGCCGTGGAAATGAGAAAGTAAAGTGAAGTAAACGAGGAGCGAGAGATGGGAAATGAGGAGAGAAAATCCGGCTGTTAATCCACGCGGCATCCCGTCGCGCGTTCCAGCTTTTCTCTGCGACTCCACGCGCGGTGTTCGATTTATCTTATGTAATTCCCGCGAGTGCATCACGCCCCGCGAACGCCGGAGCCTGCGAGGCTGTAATACGCGTGCGTGCGTGCGTGTACATACGCGTGTGCCTGCCGTGTGCGGCGAGCGATGCCCGTGGCCATCTTCGCGTTTTGCCCTCGCGTTTTGTAATCGTTATCAAGCTCCATATTTGAATTCAACAAGTAATGCAGCTCGCCCGCCGCGAGTCGGTCCCCAGGCGCCGTGAATTCCCCGCTCCCGCTCCTCGCGCGATCGTCGGGAAGCGAGGACCAAGAGAAATCACGGTTTCACGTGCTCGTCGTCGCGTCGCGACGTTTGAAACAAATAAGATATATCCTTTCGATGGCGATTACGCCTACTAAATTCTAAGCAGAATCCGTAAGGTTCGTAAACGTGTTTTCGTGATGTACTTGTAAGAACTTTCAACCGCTTGTACCTTTTTATATTGACATCTTTGCAGACAGCTTCTTACTAGCCTGTAAGATTTACGAGAATTCGTAGATATTTACGAATAATCGTGTATCTTTACGTACTAAGTAAAATTAGAATACTAGTTCCAAGTTCTTACAAGGTTTATATTATACAAGACCGAGTTACGGGTCTTACTATTCTACTTAGAATTGACCTATTATTAATTCTCTCTCGCAAAGTCTTCTTACGACGACAACGGAGCGAGACTTTCGCGAGGGTCTCGCCAGAATTTCGCCAAGAAGTCTATTGTGTATCTTGTAATGAAGTAAAAATTACAGAAGTGCGAGCAAATTCGTAAGTGTTGACCGCGGTGTAATAATACAGTGATTCATCTAAAAATATTACCCAGGTAACATATGATATTCCGAGGATGTTCTTAAAATGTCACAAAAGATATACTCAGAATGTTCATACTTCCATTTATTTTTTACTTGAGCGCAACAATCGAAATATCCTCAAAATATCGTGTGCTGTCTGAGTTATTCTTACGTGATGTTTCCATTCTATTTGAGGACCATGTTTTCTAACGAAATACGGTCGAGTGGAAACACCTATATTCTTACATCGTAGCGTGTTGGCCAATGAAATTATAAATATTCTCCTAACTCGCTCACTTTTGTCATTTTCGTCTCTTCTCACAATACACGATCGACCTTCGAAATTTCGTCGATTCATTATCGACGCCGATCGCACCGCGAGGAGCCCACGGGGAGCACGTTGTCGGAGGTATGCAACGCAAGGTGGATGCCATAGTTCCACGGTGAGGAGGAGCGGGAGAGACATTCGGAACGTGAGTGACGACGACGACGCGACGCAACGTGACGCCACGCCACCGATGATGACAGTCGATCGGATCGAGTATCTCACTTGAAAATCCGAAGTGTAGTTCCGCGTGATAGCGCCGGCCATTTTGTCGCTTATTATATCGCGCGGATAAACAATCCCGTAATGTCCCGTATGCGAATTGAGAGTCTCGTAGGATTGCGTGTTGAGATTAGAGAAGTTCAGCCAATCGGAATAAAACAAATAAAAATTAAAATTATCCGATTGGCCGAATTGTAATATTTAATTCGCAATCCTCTCCAATGCGTAGTCATGCGTAGTGTGACACGGGCATAACGCCTGGCCTCGAGGCTGTTCTGTTGGCTGTCGCGAGCGCGGCTCACATGCGCGGAGATTTTAATTTCACGATGCTCTCGTTCTCTGCCTCTCTCTCTCTCTCTTTACTTCTATCCTCGCGTCTCTGCTGCGCGGCATACCAAAAATAGAAAAGCGATCGGGCCCATTTCTTACTGTTTTCGCGGTGATTTTTATGTCGCAACGTATTTATTATTAATATTGCGGCGATGCTCGTGCGAAATTCCTCTGTACCTAGGAGTTAGGGTTACCGTATCTGAATCACAAGAAAAAAAAAAAAAGAGTACAACGTATACCTTTATTTAAAAAAGATTATTCGAAGAAGCGGGGAGGGTTAATTTTTTATGCGTTAAATGTAGGTATTTAATAAAGCAAAATTTCTATCAAATTTTAATTTATACCATCAGAAGCTTTAAAACTCAAAAAGAGCATTCTCAACTTTCTAACTGTGTTTAAAGAGTTAAATAAAATACCACTAAACTTAGTCTTTATCGAAAAGAATTCGATTAGAAAGTTAAAAAAATATGACTAACGTATCTCAATTTTATAATTTTAATAACAGCGTTGGTATTTTATTTTGTCTATTGCACAAGTATTACACTGTAAAAAAAAATGTAACGATATCGTACTGTCTATAATTACAAATTATAGAATTGAGATGCAGAATTAAGCTTTTAATTGATATCTAGTTAGATATCAACTAGCAAGATTTTTATTTTGCCTAAGTCAACAAGTTTTGAGATTCTTTAATTGGTATTAGGACGCGTGAAGGAGAAAAAATCTTAATAGGTATATTCGCGCGAAACTCCCCTTAGTGAAATAGTTTTTATAGATACGAGCGATATCTGTCCCGAAGAAATTTAAATGCCATCTAGAGACAATAGATTTTTTTTAAGTCGACAAATTTTTTAATTCCTTAATATTATAGGGATATGAAAAGGAAGAAAACGTTCTATTGTAAATTAATATATATATGAGAAAGGAAACATATATATATATAATCTTTCCACAAGAATTCCTTTTTTTGGTTGGACTGTCAATTCTTAAATACTTCGAATTTTAAATATTTTGTATTGTACAGTATATACATATATGTATATACTATACATATGTATGTACATATTCGAGTACAAGTTACACTTATTTTTGTATACAAAGTATCTTTATCAGAAGTAATAATACAACTTTTGGAGTTTTCGCAATATTTTGTATACGAATTTTATGTACGAGATTTACAGAATGTAAATTTTTTCTGAATAAAATGAAAGAAAGATAAGCCAAATGTAGATATCAGTGCGATTATGATAACAATGTGTTTAGTCCATTACTCGCAGTAAATTACATATGTAAAATGCATACTTTTCGCAATTATAACATTTCCCCGGAAAATTCTTTGCATAAAAAAATTAGGGATTTCTCGTTTTCAGTGACTAGAAGACTCTATGCAACATGCCACCAGATAGGCCAGATGCATCGGGTATCGAAACTGACATAGAACTGATCTCGTCTCAGGATTATAATTTTGGTGAGAACGTCACGATGAACGATAAGGAAAAGGAGAACGCCAGCATGCTGGCCGACTCGAACTCAACCAACGATTGTCAAAGCGAAATTCCTAAATGGGAGAAGGCTATGGAGAAGAACAATCAGTCGGACGACGAGCTAACATCTCTCAGTTGGCTGCATCAGCAGAATTTACTTAAAGGTTTGGACATTTCGAACCCCACCAAAATCATAAAGCACGAGAATATGCTGAACAATAATATCTGCGACGATATGGCAGACTTTTCTGAAAACACAAATTCTGTATCAAGCTTAGATGATAGTTTCTGTCCAGGTAAGTTGAATGTTTTTAAAATGAATGCATTGTGTTTGCAGTCAAGTATTCTTACAATTTATATTAATTTCATTTTTTTGTGGTGCGTTGATAGAGAATAATGGAAAAACAAACACGACATTGAATGGGAATGGACAAAACTATCAGCATCCCGTCAAAAATTATCAAAAACCTACGCAAATATTTCAAGAATCTGCGAAAAGTTATTACAATATTTCGCCAAGTAATCAAACGAAGATTTCTTTGAGCAACAATAATTTGCCAATGTCTAATCGCAACAAGCATCCTACCCATATACCATATGATCCTCATTTACACAGAAATAGCAAACCACCGTATTCATTCTCCTGCCTCATATTTATGGCTATTGAAGATAGTCCCGTAAAAGCGCTACCTGTGAAGGAGGTTTATGCGTGGATCTTGGAACACTTTCCATACTTTAGGAACGCCCCGACTGGATGGAAAAATTCTGTCAGACACAATTTAAGTCTCAACAAGTGCTTTCGGAAGGTGGAAAAAGCTCCGGTAAGTATACGAAGTGAATTTAATCGACGAAGCGTACTGTGAGATTTTTACGGTAACTAAGGATGTTTTGGCTGTATAATATCAACTAAAAGTATCGACACAAAAAGCAAATATCAGTCATTCTTAACGTCGTATTACATTGTACGTTTCTTACAATTTTTTAATTTTTTTTTGTTTTAGAATTTAGGAAAAGGATCATTGTGGATGGTAGATGCACAATACCGCCCAAATCTGATTCAAGCGTTGTCTCGCGCTCCTTTTCCTCCCCCTACAACTCAAAATTTGTCTTCATCGGAAAAGGTGCCTAGAAAATGCATAAATACACGTCTCCCAGATCCGGTTCTTTTTCCATACCTATCCAAAAGACTGGCGTCTAGCAATATTAATGATAGTGCAGAAACCGAGATAGATAGCGATGTTGACGCAGCAGCTGCCGCTATGCTTTCCTTCAAGCATGGACCTATCATTCTGAATCATAATAAAGGTAATCACAATAAAGGTACTGAATATGCATATTTGTATGAAATAATAAAAAGCAAAGTCTCTATCTGTATTTTGTCGAGATGAAAAGAATAGCAAGGACGCGGTTAAAATGCTCAAGATACTCATTAATTTATACTTATTAATATATATTTTAATGTAGATCGTAAACGAAAATTGCCGGAAGCGGAAAAGTTGGTGCCTGTAATTACCAGGAGTTCCAGCGAGGACCATACTTATAGCTGTATCGCCTCGATAAAATTAGGAAGGTAAAGATATTAATTTTGTATAATAAACGTAAAGATTGCATGAGTCAGTAAATTTTATCGTTTTCCATTTCTTTCTATAGCAAACATTCAAATGAGGAAGAACTAAATCCAGATTTTGATGAACAAAGAAAAATTGCAGAAGGTGCGGATGCACTTTTGAATCTGGCTGGTGTTAGTACAGCGCTAAATTACAGTAGAACACATCATTTAACACAAGGTATTAACACGGCGTCTAAATCGGACGTTATTGTGAAATCAAAAAAACGTTCTACTACGAGTGATTACTCGAGTACGTCTGAAAAGAGACGTAAAAGATGGCGGGACTGGGGAGAGGAAAATCGATACCTAAAACAAATTAGGGGTTAACGTAGACACATTTTGTTACATTTTTGGAAAAGTGTACATTATCGAAAGCTTTCCACTTATGCGCGAGTCAGGAAAGCGATTGAGAATTTACTATCTAGTAACAGGAAGGTACTTTCATTTTATAGAATATTATCAGTAAATTCCTTGTTCATTTCTATAAACACGTTTAGAATCAACTTTTGCGGAAATTTTATTATTCGAGTTTCTCGTCGATAACACACAAAAAACGCGCATGTAAATTCTTCCATAACTTCTAGTTGTGCTAGTAAAAAAAGAGGGTTGTTGGATGCATTTCGAATACATTGGTGTGGTTGCTCAGGGTTTACAACATGCTATATGCCAAAATACATTCGGTAGCACTAAACAACAAGCAATAATAGAGATGTAGTGTTAAAAGAGATACTTTTTAAACACGCTGTTGAAACATGAATACAATTAAATAGTACATGGAATATATATCAATTAAAAAAATTATTATTACGTACTGAAGTAAGTAATAATAATCATTTTAGAACTGTTGTGAGAGAAACAATTATATTTAAGTCATAGAGAGTTTAATTAATGATAAAGTTCTATATCAGTTTTTCTTTTTTTTTTTTGTAGATATGTATAGAGGCATAATCAACATCTGCTGTCATGACGCCTATCCCAACAATAACGAGATCTCTTATTTGCAAACATAACGTGGCGATTTTCGATATCGAAATCACAGCCCGGTTTGATGCCCAGTGTTACCATATTTTTTATTTCAATGGGAGTTTCTAGTCTCGTTATTCTTGAGACAGGCTGCATATTCAATAGAGAGAGAAAAATCGATAATATATTTAAAATGATTACACGCATATATATTTATGTATATGTGTATATATGTATATAAAATGTATATATATATGCATGTATATGCAGATGTACACATTGCACACATCAAGCCCGACATACTCATTCATGTATATACAATTAAACTTCCTGATTCTCAACCTGTGACGAATAACTTTTTTGTTCTCCCTTTCTCATTTGAGTAGCACATAAAATGAAAATATCATTTTCCACGTATGTGATAAAACGGTGAATGTGAAAGAAAATATTCAATTGGTTAAGAATCAGGGGAGTTTGATTGTACATATGTACAAGGTGTTCCCAAGTTTGCAGCTAGAAACAGCGAGAAAGTTTACGAAAAACTGATTTTTACAACAGTTGCAAAGCTGCTTTTTCTCCTGAATACAGTCAGTTAACAGTAATTTCAAGCTATAAACAATTTAAGAAGTGCTATAAACAATTTAAGAAGAAAAGTATTATGAATATAAAATAATTATAAAATTGTATAATTAATTAATTACACAACGTAGATTTTATTGAATTTTAAATTCTTATAATTTAAAAAAAATTATTGATCGCAATTGAAAAATGTTTTTGCGGTTCAATTTCTCGTAAACCTTCGAATCGCAGCGTTTTTACACGCGAAATTGAGGGCACCCTGCATGTAGACACATCATGTGCATCGTTGCACATGTGTACAACATATGTGCCACAAACGTATTATCAAAAAAAATTAAAAAAAAAAAGATTTTGAAGTACATTCAATCATGGTGGAATTGGGACTAGGCGCCGTCCGGTTAGGGTGACCTCGGCCCCGGCCGTTGGTCTCTGCCGGGCGGTGAATCCGACACTCCCCGGAGACGGTTCCCCCGGGGATCTTTGGAAGATTTCCCCTTCGATAACAAACAAAAAAAAATGGTGGAATTGGGACGGTGAAGCATTTCGAAGAATTCACAGTAAACAGTAAAACAGTGGGGTTTTAGCTAATCAAATCGTCAATGTGAAAAACAAGCAGTGAAATGTCATTTTCACATCGATATAGCAACGTCACCTTTCTGATTCCACCATGCATTCAACATGGTTTTGAAACAAAGAAATGTTGTCATTTCACTGTCTTTTTCTACTCTCTTTGTGGCTTTCAAAATGATTTTGAACAGTGTTGTACATATGTAGAGACCTTTCTAATGTATCCACAGACCAGTTTTGGTATCCAGTTGGAGACTGAATATTTAGCGATCGTGATGAGATGTTAATATCGATTGGATAGAGATGAAAAATAGCGCTACGTGGAGAGAAAACCTATTTTTATAAAAAAAAAACTATAACACTAAGAAGAGAGAAAGAAAGAGAGGAGATTTGATAATACCTTGTAATTGTAAAATATGTAAGTGTGCTACGAAGACATGCGACAGAATATTAGGCAAACTGGTCTTGTATACATTAATATATAGTTCAATATAGAGAGAACATATATTTTTACAGGGCGCTGCCCGCGTGATAAAGGTTCTTCCTAATAATTCGCTGGTACGCAGTTTATTAGCTTAAATATCACTCTACAAAGTATAAATATTAGTAATTCGAATGAGAGAGAAAAACAACTGTTGTAGCGCAACCTGATCGATTTTTACATATCAGTAATACGTGAAACGTACTATGTCAATTTCGTAAATATATATATATATATATATATATTCTGTTATTTCAGAATTCATTCAGGTTACTTGCGATGATCCTTTGATATCACTCAAAGAGCTCATCGTTAGTATTATAGAGTGCTAGTTTCATAGCACAATTACGTGAATATGTAGAAAAAATTCAATCAGTCTTTTAAATTAATAATATAATTTAAATTTTACTTCATTTTCATTAAAACAGCAGATTAGCTGTGACAAAGTTAAAGTAGAAAGTTGAAAATCTTGATTATCCAAAATAGAAGATATCTTCTGAAGAAAATTGGAAAATATGATTTGTGTAATAACAGGATGCGCTACATCAAATATACATTTAATTGTGATTGTAGCTAGTCAGCTACACCAGAAGAAAATTCAATCTGAAGGTGCAAGAAAGAATGCCATACTCACAATATAATAAATATTAAATCTACTTGATAAAAAAAGAATAACAATATTATTTAAATAAAATATTGAAAAAATATCGAAAGTAATTATTTCCAAAATTTATCTGTCTTCTAATTTAAAATTAAACATACTCTTTGTTTAACATTATATAATTTATATGAAATTTAGCCGCATGCAATTTATGTTTTTTGTTTTTAAATTTTATTTTTTTACTGTTATTATTTCTGTGATATATTGCAAAAATGATACATTATCGTTGTTATACTTCAGTGTATCCGAAGTTTTAGAATTCTATGTATTACTTTTAGCGAAAGAGTTATATGTATGTATATATATATATATATATATGTATGTATATACACACACATATGTATATACACACACACATATGTATAAATAATTATTATTATTAATTAACTGGCATTCTTACTCACACCTTGAATACTCTACCTTGATATCGACCTTAAAACGAGCTGGCATCTTCAAATTGATAATCCTACGAAAATTTAATGTTATAGCTTCACAACAATTTGTTGACATCCTCTTAGTCTAGCTCTCGTTTGCTACGACTGAACATCTGTTCTTCCACACATAGTTGAATTCTAAACTAATCGGCTATAGAGAGTGAGATGCCATTCATCAATCATAATACAGTGTAGCTAATCGATAGGTTAAAGCTTAGATTAAATCGATTAGTCACGGTAATGTAAAGCAATACACCAGTAAATCCTGACATTGGGCGAAATACTCTAGTCAGCCGGTTTCTTAAAAGGAATCTTGGGCTCATGTGCAATGCGTTAAGTCGGCACGCGGAGTCGGCACGACAAAGGGATAGACTGTTACTCTATAATTGCATTATAAGAAGGAATAAGTATTAATATTGCAAATTTACTTTTCTTAACGCGTAGCGCTGATTTCTACACAACATAAATTCGGAAAATTTATAATTATTCCTATGTTATACGCGGGATATGTGCTATTACTACAACCGGCTGACAAGCGAAGTCATCCTATGACAGACACCAAAAAACACAACAAAGTATGGAGCAAAGCAGATTACGATGTGTCATTGTAACTAACCAGGGACAATCAAAAGACATGATGTATTTGGTTTGCTTCCATTACATGATATCGTGCCAAATGCAAAATCCTTTGGGTTTGGAAGATCAGAGATACGTTAATTTATATGTATACATAATATATATATATATATCTCTACAGATTGTATATTATAAGAATTTTGTTGGCGTAATATGTAATATTATAATTATATATATCATTATTATTATTATTATTATTATTATTATTATTATTACTCATTTTAGATGAATCATGCTGTAAAATGTTTGTTAAGTTTTTGATCTTGCTTATATATATCTTGAGTATATTTAATATTTTAGGCTGTAACTACAAGAAAATTTTATCTAATGAAACAAATGAAGAAAACAGCAAAACTTGTTGATTATTTTGTCTAACATTTCTTATTCCACGTAGTAATTATGGCATATCTTAACATATACATGTATATATAATATGGTACAATTAACCCTTAATGGTCTAACGTGGGTCGTTCAAGTCCCCTAAAAGGTACACTCTTCACCTTTAATTTCCACTTTGATTTATGTCGATAGCTTCATTTGGATTGAAGTTATGATTTTTTAAGTGATCGAGTGATTTTACACGCGGTACCACCATTTTTAATACAAAATTATATACAAAAATAATTATTTTCGACATACAAATTTTTTTTTCTTGAAATTGAAGAATTAATGAAGGTCCATGAATTTTTGCAGATTTTTTAAAGCCCTTTAACATGTCTAAAAAACGCCGAGACACGAATGGCCCACGTTAGACCATTAAAGGTGCCGAAAAAACGTTAGACTAGTAAGGGTTAATTATCAGGAATATACAGCAATATGTTAATGTTGATCATATAGTTTAAAAAATGATTTAAAAAATACATTTATTTTTAAAAGATAATGTTTTTTTAGGAAAAACTTCGGAATATTACGTTTAAATATTTTGGTAAAATAAAATAAACATTAAAAATATAACATACCGATGAAATCGATGAAAAGATATATATATAATAAATATATTGAGGGTTATACATTAAAATTTAGAATAATACCTATGATATTAATTATATATATAGATCAAATTCAATTAGATTAAATTATTTAAAAACATTAAATCAATAAAGAAGATAACATTAGCTATGTCAAATTGAACCGTGATCATCAAAGAATCATTTAATTGACTATATAAAAGACAAAATATACCTTTATTACAAAAACATGCACGTTTTACTATTTCTATGATAATCACAAAGTATAACGAATTCAGCACACATACACTGATTGCTCTGATGCTGCCCTGACATAGTGCGAGTGCAGAATCACTTTAGTGCCAAACTGCTCTGTCAGAAACGTTAATGCAACCTTTTTTAAACTCGTTTTGAATTCATTCGGTTGATCCGAATATACATCACTATACTAGATCAGTTTTCATTTGCCGAATACGACAATCTGAACGTACTGACACAGTGCACACAAACCGAATATGTGCCACTGAAAAAGTTTGCACTTAATAGCGCAGTCTTTTGAATTCGTTATTAAATATTATGACCTAACTGTTTGAGCACTTTTCTATGAATCTGACTTTTATGACTACTTTTAAGTTCCACTTTCTCTTTCTTTATTATATTTAGAAGGCGTAGAACTAAATACGTTCGTTATATTTTCCTTCCAAGATAATTGAACATTATCCCTGGACGTCATTCTTTCATTCGAAAGAGATTTTTGAGTCATTGAAGTATTATAACTATCTACTGTGTGCATTATACTATTCATGCTAGAAGTTTGGTAACCAGTGTCTCTCTCTTGAACAAAGTTTAAGATACTTTGTTGCTCGAACGCACCAGACATTATATTACTCCATTTATGACCCTTGCGTGAGAAACTTGTAGTTTCCGGCGCAATTTTTAAACTAGTCTCATTATTATAACCTTCATCAGTAAGTACGATGGCATTAGAGTGTATAGTATTATCAAGTGAATTTATACTTTTCGTTTCCTCCATGTTAACAGAATCACATGCATTTGTTTTATCATTATTTATAATTATCAATTTACCATTGTCCTTGGTACATTTTACGTCATTTTCGCTATCGTATATATCTAAAACACATTTTCAACATAGTTATGAGCATATTTGTTTTGTCTGTAATAGACATTAATATTGCAATATTTTAAAAAGAAAGATGATGCAATAAATATCTAAAAATTATTTTTCCAAAGAGTTGTATAATTATATATGTTTGAACTCAATTTTTCTATATTCTTCACTTATTAAACTAAATTCTTTAGAATTCTAATTATAACTCAATTGTTACAAGCGAGTGCATGCATTGATATTTTTTTTTATCATAACAATGAGAAAATTATCCTTCACATTTTATTAAAACAATAAAGGTAACTCTCCTTTTATAAAGAAGTTTCAAGTGAAAATGAGAAAAATAAAGAGCAAAAGCATTATTAAAAAATTAAACTAAAACAGAAAGCAAATTTACCTAACGAATGATAGTCATTAATCAAACTTGAATTTTTTTCCTCGATTACACCATTTATGTTCATATCTATCGCGAAATTTAGTCGGGTGCCTGAATTAGAGCAATGTTCAATTTTTTCGTACAACCTATTATTTTCAGCGTTTTGTATTGGTGACATATTAGGTGATAAGTTTTCAGATATTATTACGGAGGAATTATTGCTTTGCCGCCTAAATTGTAGCAGCGTCTGGAATATATTATTTCATTAATTTCAGCAATACAGGCTGTATTGTTGAATATAATTGATCTTATTTACTAACAATGAGATGTAAAAGAAGATATTGATTTTGGTCCCCAAAGTGAAAAGTAAAAGTGGTATGTTTTGTTTTTGTAGTTTTTCAACTATAGAAACTGATTCTGGCTTTTCAAAAAGTTTAATTTGTCGAGAAGTACATGTTAAGCTCAACATATAAAGCATAAATTATTACTATTGATTTTCATAAACATATTAATTCTTGATAGTAAAATATAACTCACATTCTCTCTCTCTCTCTCTCTCTCTCTCTCTCTCTCTCTCTCTCTCTCTCTCTCTCTCTCTATTGATAAAAAAAGTAAAAAAATTTATTAAGACCTAAAAACATGCTGTTCGTATACAAATCGATGAGATTTCAAATCTTGGATATTGCTCTTCTGTTGCTATAATAATTCAGTATTTTTCGCTATGCCTGATTTTGTCTAAAATCTATTTTTCTTAAATGTTCATCAGAAATCTTTTATTTTACTTCAGTTTTATATTTTTCTTAACATACTTTTCATAATAACTTTTTATATATTTAATAGCTTTATATATTGATTTTAATACTTTATCAATAAATTAAAATTTTTTAAACAGCACACACACAACAAAAATGGCTCAAATAAAAAACATTTCGCTTTTACTTATCACTGTGGTGCTATCGCAAAATTAATATTCTTTTGATATCCTTGCTATTTTTAGTCTTAAATACAGGAATTGTCTAAAATATATTTTATATAATTCACATACCTTTAATGGAGTACCATGAACAAACATACCACTTTGAGGAGGGCTGTGCACTAACAACATGGATTCACTTGTTTTTACTGGTGACAATGACATAAAACTTTCATTGTCAGTACCTTCGTCCTGACAGACAAATAATTTTCTTCTCAGTGAATTGTTACTCAAATTTGCATCATCATAGTCTGCATTCTGTTCCTTTGGAAGATATAAGAATATTTTTATCAAATTTTTCTTATCAAAAAAATAATCAATATCAAACTGCTTCCATTTTGAGAGCTATTTTATACTAACCTGAGTAAAAGTAAAGAAGGGCTTCAACATTTCTTCTACATTCTGAGGCAGCTCCAGAGGTAGAGATAATATTGTCTGACTCCATGCTAAAAATAATGACAAGATTAAATGATTTTGAAATATCAAGCTCGAAAATTTGTCTTACCATCTTTTGTAGATTTCGAAACTTCCTGGATAGAGTTTAAATGACTTAAGGACTTATTGGGAGTGTCTAAAGATAAAAATGGTGGTTTATTGTCTTTCCGCTTGATGCCCCAAGGACTAGGAATTATTTGATTCTGCTTAAAAAACCGATCTATAGCTGCCTGGGCTCTCCTCTCCAATTCTGGTTCTGGAGAATACATTTGTTGCATGGGAGATTCTTCGATCTTTACTGGTTTTATGTGAGCCAATTCGTCTATGCTCCACGTAAACTCTGATGATTGTTGCATAGGGCTGGGGACCTAAATATTGCAGTAATTTTAGCAATTAGCACTTGCTGCTTAGTGGAAGTACTCTTTATTTGTCAATTTAAAGTATTCTTTAAGAAGCTTCAAGTAAAATGACCTTAGTAAATAGAGTTGGGCTGATTGCTGACATGTGCAGTCTGTTAATCAAGTCAGGCTCAAACGGGTTTTTAGTAATGAACTTCCTCAACTTGGATGGGGGTGTGTTATGATTCGGCAGAACAGCAAACGGCAACCGTTGCGTATTATTCTGATACGTTAGGCGCTTCAAATGAGCGTTCTGCTTCACCGGAGTTCTACATCTCCAGGAATTGCACGCTAAAGGACTCTTACACTTGTGCTCCTCGCTCGGCGTGCTCCGTTTCGCTTGTTCCATTACAAAACAATTTGCACAAGAGACGGAAAATTCTTTGTTTAACAACTTCAGATGTAAGACTTCGGCCTGTCAATTTCGATCTGTGCAATTATTTTACGAAAGTACACTTGCAGATTACAAATCAGAGCCAGTTCTGATAGCTATGATTAAAACTTTTCAACTTTTGAACATATCAGATTCATTTCAAATTTATTTACACCATCGACGAGATACTATTAAAGACCATCAACCTTGGGCACATTTTCGTCCTCACGAAAAAAAGGACCCGGAGGTAATTGAAGAACATTGACATTATCGACAATTGATATAAATTTAAGATTATTACAAAATATATTTGATTAATATATTATTAAATACATGATTTTTGTTATATAAATCCATAAATAGCATTATATACTTTTAACGTTATAATATCTTATATATATTGTAGCAAAATTACAATTTTTATTCTACAATTATTATCTTTATTGACAAAGAGAAACCTGAGAGAGTGAAATGTATATGTCATTTTAAACCTGCTACAGTCGAAAACGTTATTGGATTGACAGAATTTTGGAACGCATCCTGTTACAACGGATCTGTTCTTTATTCCTGCACTATCTAAACTGGTACACACGGTGCAATAAGTTAAAGCGAAATAAACGTATATTTGTTTCACTTTAACTTATTGCACCGTTTGCACCAGTTCGAAGAGTGCAGGAATAAAGAACGAACCTCTCTTGTTGGCACGACAAATGGGCTATCGACAAAGCGACAAAGCAGTTAGCAAGCAATTTTGTACAGCATTTGATATAATACGTTTGTGTATATACGAGTTGTTCAAAGTTTCTCTTTTGAATAATTTTAGATTTTGTAGCGAATGTCATACGTGAGAAAGAATCTTTAATAAATAATTCTAACCAAAGTGTGAATTCCATCATGACGTTCATGACTCATGCGATGTATCATTATTAAATTTTATATTTCACGTTCGAAATGTGTCGTAATAGTACCAGGTAATATCTCAAAAATTATAGTTGATTATAAAATTGGAGTGCAAGCGATAACAATAAAATATGACAGTGAAAATGTGGAAGTATATTTTGGTAGTTGTTATCATAAATTCAGGTAATGATGAATTCTACATGTTCTATTCAATGTTAACGCGATTTAATTTTAGTAATTATTAGAAAATAAATTTCCAGTGACCTGCGAAAGAATAAAGGACATGATATATATGCCTTTTGATAATGTAGCTGCTTGTTTCCGAAGACATAATGGCACACATCAGTTTGGATGTTCCTGTAAGAATCAAAACCTTTTATTAGTTACTTCTTTGATTGTTAATTATCAATCTTTTCTAGATCTCCAGGACTGATTATTTACTGACATTGTGATATTCCAGCTAGTAGATCGGGAAGTGTAGGCGTAATACATCTGTTGGAAGTAGAAGATGATATTGCTTGGTTAGAAAAGAACGCTACTGCTGGTCCATACACTGTGGTCCTTCCATTTGCATTGTTCAACAGAACAATGCTTCTAAGATTAAAAAATACAAACAACATAAACGGAGTACTGCTGACAAAAGATACTAGCCATGAGCGTCCGTTTAAGTATTCACCTGAGGATCAATGTCCCAATCGATATTCTGGTTATAAGAAATGCAATAGTTCAGATCCATGGAATCCTTTCGGAACTGCGTTACTCTTTGAAGATTGGCCATTTCCCATGTTTTACACAGATGTGAGAATTTTATTTAATTAACTTGATTAAAGGCTGTGACATACAAAAAATTTAAACAATAAGACATAAGCAATATAAACAAATCATTTAAATATATAATTAATATACTTTTACATTTAACTTTGTAATTTAACGTATAACAACTTTTGATATGCACTAATCTAAGATTTGTTCTTTTCAGCTTAACTTTTTATATACTTCATATTCTCTCTTTTTTTCTTTTCAATATGAAAAAAAAAAGAAGAAAAATGAACTATACGAGAAGTTTAATTGAAAAGGACGTCTCAGGTCTATTCTTTATCGCTATACTGAATTATTTTAAAATTTTCCATCTCACTCATAAAATATTTTATTTTAAGTACAAGTGTACACTAGTTCAGCTATAAAAAAAAAACAGATCTCTAGTATAATGCAATTTATGTAAATGACCAAATTTGTTGACAAACGTATTAATACAAATTCTATATGGAAGACGTGTGTTTCAAACAAATACTAAAAAGTGTCACATTTTCAGAATCAAACAGTCTTGGAGGCTATAAAAACTTGTTTCTGGACGCACAACGCGCACGATCTTGAAACGCAATATCAGAGATCTCTTTGTGCTTTAGAAATGAAGTCGTTCATGTACGCTGCCGTTAACTCAGAATCTTGTATAAAGCGTACAGATTTCGTGTTGAATTTCAATCCGACGCAGTTTTGCGATCCGCTTGGAGATAGAAACATACATTGGCCCTTGGCACCTCTCGATGAAAATAACAATACGGTGATAATGGTAACGGCACGCTTAGATGCATCGTCTTTATTCGATGGTGTATCACCTGGTGCGGGTAACGTCGTAACAGGATTGGTTACTTTACTTGCCACTGCGTACTATCTGAATTTCTTAAATGCTACTGTCGACAGTATGTATTCATCTTTCCTTAATTATTATAGCACGTCCAGTTATCCATACATACATAATATATTAGGCAATGCGTTTAAATTGAAATATTTGAGTATCTTGAAAAGAATTATCAAAAACTTAATAAAAGTGTTAGAGTTATTAATAAATTAATTAATTTATGAAATATTTTATAATTTGTGTTAAAATAACATGAATTTCATGCTAGAATGAAGTATATAAATATATATTGTAAATTATTAATTTTTTACAATTTTAATACTTTTACGTATAAAATAACTAGAAAATCAGATTATCAGAAAAAAATTAGACAATTTCTTTGACCTGAAAAATTGTTAGACTCTGCAAAATTTTTATCATTATTCATTCCCTTTTAGATAATGCAACTTTGTATGGAAATTTTTTAATGCTTTTGAGATATTCAAATTATCTCAATTTAATACAATATATATATAAGCGACACATGACGCACGTTTTCTTGTTGGATTGCTTACGTTTTAATAAATTAATGCAATTATATTACATAGAACGCATAATTTCTAGTAATTTATTAAAATGCAAACAATCCAGTAAGAAAATATCGTGTGCCGCTGAATTTACAGAATTGGATAAAAATTTATACTGACATATTAAGGCTTCTGTACCTATCTCACCACAGTCATATTAAATTCTGCCCTTAAATCTATAAGCCCATAAATCTATGAATTAGATCAATCGATTGATTTAATTCAGATTGAAGACATTTTTCTATTTGATTATTTATATATCTAAAATCATTCATTATTATATATTTATTCTTATTATATCTAGAGACGAACGTTGTGTTTTCCCTGTTGAATGGAGAGGCATTCGATTATATAGGATCCAGTCGTATGGTGTTTGACTTAAAACACAACAATTTTAACGCTCTCGGTGGAATCAATTTGAAATTCGACGATATTCTGAGTGTGATCGAGTTCGATCAGTTAGGCCAGGGAGAGATATTTCTTCACACTAACGGCAAAGACAATATAATAAACCATCTGCAGAAAAAGTTGAATGCGAAGATTAGGCGTGGTAGTGTCCCACCTACGTCTGTGCAAAGTTTTCTAGAGGCAAAACCGAATCTAACGACCGTCGTTATAAGCAATTATAAGAAACGTTTTAAAAATCGATACTATAACGGCATTTTGGATGATGCGGAAAGTCTCGGTTTCGATAAGTACATACATATCTTTTTTATGTTTGATCTTAATATATACTTCATATTCCAGTATTACTTGATTGTACATTATTGAAATTTTCTCTCGTGTATCATGTTTTAGAAACGATACTAGCACGCTTGCATCAGATTTAGCGCAAATTGCTCTTCAGGTTGCTAATGAGCTTTATCGAGCGGTGACGGGCGAGGCGCCACAGTCCGTCGATCTGCCGGTACCTATGGAGAAGCTTATCACGGAAATGCTATATTGTTATTTGGAGAGCGCGCAGTGTCCTCTGTTCCGCGCGGCTTCGGCGCCTTACGCTAAATTAACCGATCAGGTTTTGCCGTTGTATGTTGGAGTGCATAGAGCATATAATATCGCAACGACTTTAACAGGCCAGCTTTTAGCATATCTGACCGGCGAAAAGCTCTACGAGATGAACGAATCAATGTGCTACGAAAATCGACTCATCTGGATGAGCGGTCAAAATTTCTCGGGCTTATGTGTCAATTCAACTGTCAATTACAGTATAGCTATGAGTCCTGCATTTATTATCGAAGGTAAATTGCTACACTATTCCCAATATAGATACAAGCTCAACGTATCCAATTGTTTTTTTCCCATTATAGGATATGATATGAAATCAGGTGTCTACTCGACTTGGACAGAGTCCATATGGCAAACGTTAAGCGTTAGAATGTTTCTCAAACCAGCAGCATCGACGGAACGATTTAATCTGATTCTGGGTTGCTTGGTTGCCGGTTTCTCTTTCGTGTTAGTATGGTTTATTAATAATCGAGCTAACGTCTTATTTAATTCAAGGTATGTATCATCTTTCTAAGGAGACTTAGAGATTATATTAGAGAAGAACTATATTAAAGTAATATATTAATATATGTATATTAGCATTAATTATATATACATATTATATAAATATATATATAAATGGAAAATTGAATATATATATATTTTAAGTAAATTACATCACATACACACACTATATAATCAATGATATTTTCAGGAGAACCGTTGACTGCTAGGGATACGCTGCGGACCACACATCAATGACCAGGTTAGATAATCATCGAGAATATCATGACTTTCCAGTAACTAGCCTTTAATTATATATGTGTGTGGTACGCCCTCGGAAGATTTTTACAGCCCGAAAATTATCCGGAAATGTCACGATATCATTGCAATTTTTATCTCCTATTTATCATCGTTGTTTCATCCGCAGTGTTCAATTGAAAAAAATCACGGATGCATCTTTGATACTCAATGTAAACGGTAAAGTGAATCTTTCTTCTATTTTTTTCTTTATAATATCTATATTATAAATTATTTATGAAGTTACATATATGAGTAAAGACATTAGATGATTGAACGGGTGACTCGATAAAATTAACGGTTTTGTATTGTGTACGCGTGTATATAAATGAATGTATGTCTATGTGTGTACAAGGTACAGTCGCATTAATAAGATTTTGTAAAATAAAAATTATATAAAATAATGCAAGCATAGTAACTTTCAATAGCAATAAGTTTGTTACTCATGTAACATTAAAAAAATCAAAATACGGATCATAAACCGATCGTGAAAAAGTATATCTCTCTTTCTGCCCCTCTTACTCTTTTACCAAGTTATCTTTGAAGGATAACAATGTATGAATTGTAAAATATTTTTTGCTATAAATATTAAATCTCGAGTGCATGTTTTCCTAATCATATTCATTTTACATACAATATATTACTTTTCATTAGAGCAACAGAATATGAACGTGGTACAAAAACGTATCGACGTATTAAAACAAATGGCATCTTACATAATTATGATAAGAATAAAAAGGGAATAATGCAAGCGTGATGGCATTTATTATCGATAAACAACTTATTTAACAGGGCATTGATGTACACGGGAAAGAATTTAATTTGTATATCTATGCTTTGTGTTTTTTTTAGTATACATATAAGTATATAATGTATTTCTCATTTACGACTCGAAATTTGGACAAAGTTAGAAATGGGCCATTCTTGGAAGAAGGTTGATTCAAATTTAAGAAATGTATAAAGAATTTCATTGTATTCGATCAAACATGCAATAAAATGTGTGCATGTAAAATGACGTTTTGATATTGGATATATGCATTGAAATAAAAGCGGAGAGACACACACACCTAGAATTAGAATATTATTTAATCCAGATAAATTAGGAATATGGAGATTTGTAATATGAAGCAAAAAAAAGCACATAATTATGAAATTCTGTGAATAACACGTTACTTTTGTGTCGATTTTCATACTTATGTGTACATAATTTCTGCATTTTATTACATAATTATATTATACACAAATATCTACAAAAAGCGGTACAAAAGTGATGTTGTTCACAGAATACAAAACGTTTTTCGGACCAAGATTAGTCTGTAAACTGTTATAAGTCCTCTGTCGAGAGTGCTCTCTCTTACAATAATCTTAGAAGAACTGCAAATTTATTTTTTACGCCGGAAACTACATTATATAAAATATTTGACCCATTTCTATCTTTATGTTTTTTTTTAAATCTAAATAGCCTGTTTTTTTAGCTGAACTTCTTGCACGATTCATCTTTTATCTTTTTTTTTCCACTCCAAGAGAGAAAAGGAAGAAAGATAAACCATGCAAGAATTTTAGCTGAAAAGAACAGATCTTAATTCTCGATAGATAATTTTTTTGCATCGTTGTTAATGCGACAGACGTTTACGTCTCCTTCCGTACAAAGTGTCCACATGCTCGCGTCGTAATAAATCTTTATATTACGGACACCCGTGTAAAAAAAAGCGAGTGTCCGATGAAAAATATGCCAGGTGCATATACGCGTCTTGTCCACGTGCATATGGATGGAAACGTTCTATACGCAACGCACGTCCCGACATACGTTCAACCTCTTCGGTAATCTGTTTACGCTTTCTTTTAACTAATTTTTATTTAGTATACAAGGATGAAGTAGGAGGCTGGGCACCGCCCACCGAATTATCACAGTCGTCTGGTGCCGCAGCACATACGTATACGTGGTTCAGCCTTACAACCTACCTCTTAATCTAGCGTTATTCTACGTTTATTTATTTCTCGGATACAGTATAGTCCCGTACAAGGTGACTTCTCAAAGCAACGATTACTAGAGAAGCGATCATACATTTTTTTTTACATATTAGATTGTGATTACATGTTATTGCTTTATTATAAATAGCACAGATCTCTTTAGTGAGTGCTTTCTCTAAGCTAGGAGATAGCAATGCCAAGTAATGTTTTATATCTTGTTTTTTAATCTCTCTCTTCACCAGTGGTTGCAACTGTTCATTAAACAAACTGATGTCGCGGTATACCGTGTACGGGAGCTATACTGTCAGCTGTCTGCAACTGATAATATCGTTTTACTCAAGTCATATCGCATATTCAAGTATTTCGCATGATTACATTCTAATCAACGTTCACGATTAGGCGATTGAGCGGAAAGTCTTGCATACAAAAATCAATACGTCTGAGAAACAAAAAAAAGTAGAAGAAATTGTAAGAACAGGTCGAACAAGCTACTAATGGAAGCACTCTGTCAATTGGCTATATACATCGACTCAACGTAAAAATTATAAGTACAAAGGAAATGATATTTGGCTACCTAAAGCAACCACAGACTACGTAATATGACACATTTTCCTCCTATGATCGAGTGACTAGTGTCAGCTTATCGTTAATTGCGGTATCCGTGAAAATAGTCATGACAGAACTGTTATAAATGAAACGGGAATTTCACGTTCTGCAATTTATTGGTATAGCAAGATCATATCCCCTATGGAATTGTCCACTTGGAAACAACTAATTTACGCTACATTACTTTACGTCGGATTTAACAAGGTAAAAATGGTCTTAGCCATTCAAATCTCGATGGACGGATCGCATGGAAATGATGTCATCGAAGAAAGCATAAATATATATACGCGTATATGTGCATCAGGAAGATATGTACACGAGAATGCGTCGGCGAGAACAGCCAGTTCGCGAGTGAATATATCAAAAGTTTTTGTTGGACTCGCATGGGAAGCTCCAAATAAACAAGCTTCTGTCGAAGTAACGCGGTAAGAAAATTTTTGTTAGTAAAACGTAATGATCACGTGTAGACAGCCAGTGCGTAAACATTAATATTCCAAAATGTCATATATATCGTTGAATATATCCAATTCTTTTTTCAAGAAAAGTGTTAGCTTTTCTTTAACATACTTGGTAATATTTGTTCTGTTTTGTCCGTTTCTCTCTTTCTCTGTCTTACTAACAGTTCCGCATGTAATATGTACAGTAGTATCATATAACACGTGCAGTACACGCTTAAGGGACGACACTTAGAGTTTAAAAATATAATCATCATATATTTAAAGTAGTATTATATCATCATTGTATTATGGTTGTGTTTGCTGCTGCTGTTGCTGTTATTACTATTATTATTATTATTATATAATTATAGTTATTATCATTATCAATAGCGTAATAATTATTATCATTATTAGTTTTATTATTATTATTATCATGGAGGGACAGTGTTTCGCTATGCCACGACACTGCAGAGCTGAACAAAGACTAAACGCGGAAGTTACCACGCTCTTTAATGGCACGAAAAGTACAATTAATATTGCATGCTATACTATAATTCTCCTCTAATTTGGAAATTAATTATCCATGTTATTATCTCTTTTTCCAAATGTGCCACATAATATGCCTAATCGAATAGCTTACAACTTTTAATTAATGTTAGCAAAGGTCGGTACCATTTTTCATACACTGTCCATATTGGCTTTATACAAGTTATAAATAATAAAGCGGATTAATAAATTTCAATCCCAAAAAAGCTTTACACGTATTATAACTGTAAACAAAAAATATGCGAATATTTTGTTGTGACACAAAAAATAATAATTATTGTGATAGGAGCAGTATAGGTATTAGTAGTAATAGGTAGTAGTAATAGTAGTAATAGTTTAGTAATAGTAGTAATAGCAGTAGTAATAGTAGTAGTAGTAGTAATAGTAGTTTTAGCGGTAGCAGGAGCGATAACAATAGGAGTGTTAACAATAATAATATTGACAATGATAGTAGAAATAGTAGTATAGTATAGCGGTAATGGAAGGAATAGCAATAGTAATAGTGACACTATTACTAGAAATAGCATAGTAGTAATAATATATAGTAGGAGTAATAATTATTAATAATGGTAATGGTAGTAGTAGTATCTGGGTAACAATATTAATCGTAACAATAGCAGTAATAACATAATATTGTTGGCAAAGCTAGCAGAAAAAAAATTCATTTTGTCTATTTTGTTTTATTATACGTCTAATGAAATATCAAAGTTATATACGAAAAAGATCGACAATTGGTGTACCATCAAAAATATACAAAAGAACGAATTTATACAGTTTCTAGAGAATATATACGTGCTTAAAAATGTACATTGAAAGAATGAAAAATATGAATGGCTATCATAAAAATATTTCTTTTCTTGGAAAATATTTGTTCGATAATTCGTTCTAACATAATTACATATATATATATATATATATATGTATATATACCGTAATTATATTTAAAACGATGTATCTTTTACATACATTACATGGAGGTGTGTTTCATTTGGCGCTTACAACGCTCACGAGCATTATTTGTCCTTGTTTAACATTTGATAAGGATGAAATAATTTCATGAACATTGTGAGCGTTGTAATGGAACATACCAATAGGCATCATAAATAATAATATCAGAAACATAAGATTGTTACAAGCAACATAATTAAAATTAACAAAAGATCGTGATTTCAAAGAAAGCTCAAATTCGTCTTCACTATTTGCGCATAGTTTAGTCAAAAATTTGTCATCGAAAAATAAATAACATTTCTCAAATAACATAATACAAACATATGTACGTTCGAGTTAAACGTACTTAAAAGTAAGCTGCTCTTTCTAGTACCTATTCAATCTCAGTTCTCGTCTCCCAGTCCATTACAACATGTGGTGGATAATTTGTGAGCCGAGATTAAAAATCTAATCAGTTGTCATAAAAAAGTAGACGGTTGGCTAATGAACGCTATCAAAGTATCAAATGATCAGAGAGCGTGATAACCTCTACCCACGTATTCTTAACTTTCACAAGATTAATTACGTATTTGACAGTTAAAGCGATATCTATTCCCGAATATCTTAATACTGTAATGAGCAACTGGATTTGAAGGTACCGTAAAGAGGTTGACGTTTCGGTGATCGACAGAGGTCAGTGAAGGTCGTCCTCATCGCTATCGTTACCGTCTTTCGATCTAGCAGCACCTCCCTCACCATCGCTAGAACCTGAATCACTCGTCGAATCATCGGATTGCCAGCCCGCTTGTTGCTGCTGAGCTGCTTGTTGCTGCACTGCGTGTTTTGAAGTCTTGTGACGTTTCCCCGCGCGCGATGTCGCGTCCGTGCCTGCGCCGTCCAACATTGGCTGTAGGATTCGTCGACGGGCGTTGATGAACCAATTGTTCACTTGTAGCAATGTTAAATTTGTCTGGCTGGCGATCTGACGCTTCTCGTCTTCGGTTGGATAAGGGTGCTGCAACAGATACGCGTTAGATTTACGATTAAATGAAACAATTGCAAATTATCAGCAAGTTACTCACTACTAAATGCTGAAAGAGCCACGTTCGCATGATGCTGGTTGCCTGTTTGGGTAAGACACCCCGCTTCTGACGTCCCTTTCTAGCGCTACCATGATTATTTCTGTGATTCCCAGTGTGATTCGAAGCTGCATTGCTGGCACTCTCCTCCTCATCTTCGCTCGCCGCAGGGGAAGGCGAGGCTGCAACTGTAATGTCTAAACACAATCGACGTGTTCTATTAAATTTATGATTCACACATATAATGGTAACGGTACAATTTGTGCGTTGAGAGATAGTAACGACAACGAATCGTTGCTATTTTTCAACTCATATGCGCCGAAGGAAACACGTTATATTCCTAACCGAAATATTTTTTATCGTTAGCATTCACAGCACTCGCGTATTCCACATTTTTTCGTTCTTGCAACGCGACTAATCCCCAGTATCCGGCTTCTTCCAGATATATTCTATTAGAAATCGTCTGCAGATACTCGCTACTGTCATCTATAATATAACGGGATTTTAAGAGATTCATCATGTATAAAATCTGATAAACTGATGAGGTTCGTAGAATCGAGAAAACAGAGTGAGGAACGACGCCGAATATAATTGTGAAGAGTAGCACATCGTTTTATTGGTCATGTTTAGCAGACTTCCACTGTTACGGAGCGGATTCGTGAGCGCTCGCTGCTATTGATATATTCTTTTAGATCATCCAATAGCAGCGAGCGCTCACAGATCCGCTCCGCAACAGTTGAAGGTGAGTTCCGAAATTCACTGCCAGTGCTGAAACTATATAGTATACGTTACGTGCGCTATAGATTTTCAGCACTGGCAGTGAATTTCGGAACGCACCTTGAGTCTGCTGAGTATCGATCATGAAACTTTTTCCCTAGAATGAAAAATGAAAATTTTTACCATTGTAGTTAATGGAGAAATTTTTCACTTTTTATTTTCCATCCTAGGGAAAAAGTTTCATGATCGATACCATCGACAGTCGATGATCGATACCCTGAACGCGACCATTATAAAGCTGGAAACACAATAGGCACAGGCAACAGGGAATAAGGAGTCGTCCAATGAGAGCTCTGAGATATAAGTTCGATAATATATCCCAGAGTTTTGATTGGACGACTCGTTATTTCCTGTTACTTGTGCCTATTGTGTTTAAGCCTTAAAGCCCGATCTACAATTGCGTAAACGTAGTTGTAAGAATTGACTAATCACAGTTGAATACGAGGAGAATATTCGACTGTCATTGGTCAATTCTTATAACTACAACCACTTACAACTACGTTTACGCAATTGTAGATCGGGCTTAAGAATACTGCACGTTATGCCTGGTTTATGCTTCGGTCTTAAGGTCTTAATCCTAAAATTCAGCCAATAGTTCAAATTTCGGTTAGAACTGGCAGCTTTATTGGTTGAATTTTAGGATCTTGGGATTAAGACCTGAAGTATAAATCAGGCATTACAAGAGAAGGTGATTGCAGTTAACGCGACGAGACATTGTACAAGTTAGTGTAGTAAAAGGGAGGGCAGGTCGCTAGTATCGCGCGTTACCGACTCCTGGTTGGTTAAACCAAGAACACCAGTGGTGCGTTTCGTTGTCGGTATTACCAACAAATACAACCGCTGCTTCAGGGCTGCGTTCGAAAACATCACCCGAGTGCCCCAGTGTATCGTCTTATCCTCGTTTAACATGAGTGAACAACAAGGATAAGAAGCCCAAGAAGAGAAAAAAGATAGCGTTTTTCGAAATTTTGTAAAAAAAAAAGTTCCCAGAGAATTTCTGGATCTTTTCATTTTTGTCTAAAATTTCAGGTAAAATTAGAGAATTTTTTAAATAAAGCTTTAAATCAAACTGAAATATAAGCAACACAAATAAATTATATAATAATTTAGTAGAAAAACAAATTGCACGAGACTATATCTAGGATTATGAGCGAGTTATTCTCTTCCGCTAACAATAAGTTATTGTATACTACTATCTTGATTTTTAAATAAAAACTCACAAGTCACACGATAAATCTATGTGAATGAATTCAAATATTGTATTTATTGCTAATTGTTAATATTTTGCATTATCAACAAATGATTAAAAACAATTTTTAAACAAGACAGAATTTAAAAGTAAAATTTGAAAAATTTTCAAGGATAAAAAAATAATTCCTAAAAGTTTCAGATTTTTCAAGTTTTTTTCAGATAGTAAACTTTGAAATAAAGTCAAAATTTTGACGAGAGAAGAATAAAATCTCAACGAACGAGAACAATTGAAAGGAATTCATTTGATGATTCAATGAACACATTTAATGGACTCAACAGTTGAGTGAGGGCTATTGGTGTATTCTTCTAGGTCTGATTGGATGCTCTAGAATACACCACTAGCACGCTCATTCAACTATTGCACTCGACAGCTATCTGATTTAAACTCACCTTGGCCGAGATACATGTCGTTAACCGGGGCGCATCCATGCGCCCCGATTTGTGAGAGAGGCGTGCTTCCATGTATAGTGGACGGTGAGAGCGGATCGTCGTGGTCCTGGCTAGTGGATTTGCCCGAGCGCTGGACGGCGGAAGACGGTCGGACCGACGAAACTTGATCGTGAATAACGCTCTCTTCCCGCGTGTGCGAATTCGCGCCATCATTCTCCGCCACGGCGTCCCCACGGCTCACTCTGAATCCGTTAGCTCCCGACTCAACATCATTGCCTGTAGATGACAGCACCTGGCAAATATATGTCTCAACTAGCCGTCAGAGAGCAGGGATGGGAAATTCAGTAATATCTCAAGAGATGTACACGTATGCTCGTACACGGCGATGTAATACATATATTATTTTCTCTATCGAATCGACGGCAATTTACAGATACATAAACGGTAATGGCAACGACGTCGCCGGACTGTTCGCGTACATCCCTTCTACTATGGGAATATCTACGTTGGTAAGAGGGATAGACCGGACAGACCGGGGAGCCTAGCTTCATTGTGGTATATCGGACAAACGTCTAACCTGCAACGGACTGCTGCCGTTGCTTCCACTCGATGGACCCATGTCGTGCCCGTGGTGGCTGTAGTCGCTGCGTAACAGATTCTCGCTCTGCATCTTGCCCTTCAGACACGTGATGTACCTGTTGCAGAAGTCTTTGCACAACTCTTGCACCTTCTCCAGCTCCAGTAGGTGAATACGTAGCACCTGTATCGCTTTGATCATCTGCAAGAAACGTATCTCCATGGAAATGCGTTTAAACGTTTCGTTCAACCGACCGTCATTTCTTATTGTTTCCCTCATTCATTTGTTCCCGATCTTGATTTCGCGCGCGTCGGAGTCGTATGAGGAAATGAAGAAAGGACAAGCGAAAAGTTGGGCGAATTTTTTAATTCATCGATTGATTAATCGATGAATTAAAAAACTCGCCCCTTTATAAGAAGTCTAATGAATATAAAAAAAAAAGAGTCCAATAGATATGTTTCTTTTTTACTGGTGATACAACCATTATGCTTAATAGCATTAGATTTTAAATAAAAGCAGCAACAACAGTTCTTCTAAAAAAACTAATTTATTTGTTTCTAAAACTAATAATTTAAACGGATTAAAATTAAAATTATTTGATTGATAGAGAATTCGTATCTTCAACTATATAGCAATCCTTAATTTCTAATTAAATTCTAATATGGATTTATTTGCTAATAGAATATAATATCAAATTAACTACAAAAACTTAACACATTGTCGTTTCATAACAATTTAAAGTTATTCTCTTTAAGTTTATGAAATGACTGATTTCGCTCGATTTCTGCCGACAATCTGCTGTTACTTTTTGTCAACAGTTTTTGCCAAGAAAACATGAATTTAATGCGGACGCAGATGATACTGAATTTATTGAAATATATCTGAGCAAATCTGTCGCTATACTGCGAGCAATTTGTTTACTGCTGGAATGTACATCATTAAGAAATTCGTCTTACCAAACCGTCAATCTCGGGGTCATTGATCAGGAAAGGCTTTCGGTCTCTTTCTTGGTGTTGGACAAAAGCCTGTATGTCCATGTTGAAGCTTTCGGACGTGGAGTTGTCCGAGCTTTGGGTCGCTTGTTCGCATCTTTCGAAGAGTAATGCCAGCAACGGGAAGAGCGGATGTTTATAAACGGCCCTCTTGTCGGCTTCAAACTGGGCCTGATCCTGATGAGTCGTGTAATCGGCGACCCCACTCGCAGGGTCCTGATCGTATCCGGGGGTCACCATCGCTAGCGCAACGGCGGTATTACCCTCTTGCATCCTGCCACAAACATATCACGTATAAAATTCTGAGTTGTGATGTTAATTTATTTTAAGCTTTACACTACAATAAGTCGGTAGTTTGTAGTCGGTGAATTGGGATTGAATCAAAATCGATGAATTGGTAGAGTTGGTTAGTAGCCAACTTCTAAAACTACCGACTCATTGTGAAACCAACAGTTGAAATCTGACCAACTCGCTTAGTCCCAAAACACATAGGTGTAGCAAGCCTTAAACTTAAAAAATTGACTAATTATAATCGATTACTCTCCTTACATTTGACTGTAATAAGTCATTTTTTACGGTTTAAGGCTTAAAACGTTTTTGCCTTGAAATTTCATTGTAGACGTCGCTTCATAGATTATAGAAGTTAAAGTAGTTTTTCTTACCTATCATTCCCCCTTGGCAATTCCCATTCTCATTTGGATTCCCTGTGACTCCGTTCTCTCTGCGCCTAAAGTTCAATTACTCGTTCAACGCGCTCGTTAAGTCCGTTCAATTGGAGGATGCTAGAAAAAAGAAAATCGCCATGAGAATCTCAAGTTTGTTTACATCGGCTTTCTTTTTAGGAGACACAAATTACACACTGGAACACGGTCTACAGTTAAATGGAATATTATATGTAAGGGTGCAGCTATAAAAGGAATAAGGAATAAGCAATTTCAATCTATCAGAAACTGGATATTCCGATGTATCCGATTTCTGATAAGTTGAAATTTCTTATTCCTCATTCCTTCTATTGTAGCCGCACCCTGATGTGTGCGAACTTTTAATATCTCATTTTACGAAATAAAAATTAATTGATTAATTAATTTGGTTTATTTTTTTTATTTATTTTTTTGGTGCATTCTAATATCGGTCAAAATCACGTTCGAATTCTTCTTCCGAGCAGAGTCCAAAAGTGTTGAAAAAAGTGTTTGAATAAAATTGTAAATGGAAAGTGGCGTGTGTTGTCGACTGTGTTTCCTAAAAGGAAAGCAAACCATCATCTCGTCAAGAGATTTCGAATTCAAAAGGGGCAAAGAGAGAAAGAAAGAATACCCGCGAGGAAGTGAAAAATCGATAAAGAGAGAAAAACAAGAAAAAGAGAAACGAAGAAAAACACCGCGTCCCGCCGCGCCGCGCCGCGTGAACAATCGAACGGTGCGGCACCGCATTTAAATGTCATCATTAGACAGCATTGGCGCCATCGGCGCCCGGGGCTTCCATCGATTTCGGAACGGCGCGTCTTCCGTGACGCGGGCTTAAATAGCGTCACTGGAAGACGAAAAAAAGAAATACAATAAAGATAATCGGGAAAAACCCGCGCGTGTGAAATAACCCAACGAGTGTTCCAAGCCAGTTCCCTCGAGAACTGGCAGCAAGTGGCAAGGGGCAAAATCGCCGCACGAGATCGTCTGACGTAAAAGTGACGAGTGCTTTTCTTTTCCTTCTAAGCGTCGACTCAAATCTGCTCTCATTTCATTGACGATTAATTTACCGCTATCATCAATAATGTGAGAAAAATTGCTGATGTATGTGATAATTAGACTGTAGGACTTTCGGGAAATTCCAAGGGATAGTTGTCACGAAGTCGAAGCCCAGAGTAAATGAACGCGTTCAGCGGACTCAACAGTTGAGTGAGTGCTCGCTGCTATTAGTGTACTTTTTCTAATCTCAACGTTTCATTGGATGATTTCTAGATAAACATCGATAACAACTGACTGTTGACTAAACTACAAAAAGCAGTTTTGCAACTGTAAGATTTTTTTATTAATTTTGTTCTTAATTTCTCATTGAATCTAAATATATTTTTCTATAAAAAGTTGTTAGTTTAGGTCTACAATCTTGTTTTAAGGGGTAAAGTCGTAAGCTCCAAAACCGTAAGAAATTGTCCAATCAAATATGAAAAAAATAATAAAAATCGACTGTCATTAATTTCTATATGGCTTTTCGGATTTTACGTCAAACGTTTTCTATAGCTACTCTCTCATCGCGGAGACTCGTCGAATCGCGCGTGTGGAAGAGCAAGCGAACGTTCCCTCGACACGTGGGTTTGCCGCTTCGAAAACAGCAGGAGACCGGCCTCTTGTTTACTACCTGTCAATCATCGGGCTGAGCCTAACCTGCGCGACTCGTTCCGCACGCCGCCACGCAGAAAAGCGACCGCTGTTAAAACACGCCCTTCAAACGTTACACTTTACACGACAGGCGGACCGCGCCTCCTCCGCTTCCTCCTCCTCCTCCTCCTCCTCTTCCACCCTCCCTTTTAAACGCGCGCTACTTTTTCCGGTTTGTCATTGCTCGTTTGATAAAATCGAAAGATGATCACCATCGTCAGGAACAATTAAAGGCGCGGTACAGACGATCGTACTAAAAATCTTATAATAGAGTTTGATCATGAGCAGTTCTGTCGAAAGAAGAATAAAGCCTTAAGGGCTTTTTTACAATAAGTTATTACTTAAGTTTGAAGCCGTAAAAATGACTAATCACAGTCACAATATGAGAAGAACTATGATTAATCAATTTCTTATGGCTTATAAAGACCATAAAAAATTTAAGAAATATAGAGATTGTAATAAGGCCATAGCTCAAGCAAGTCTTGCATGTTGATTTCTTTACTGCTTAAATATTTTTGTGGTCATGACTCTAAAACTTAAAGCTTAGATAGTCCACACAATAATGCAGTAAGCCTTAAGGAATCACAGTTGATCAATCAATCACAGTTGATTATATTTTTCACATTTGATTATGATTGGTCAATTTCTTAAGACTCAAGGCTTACCACACCTATTGTGTTTGTTGACTAATGGCTTATTGGAGGAAACCTATTAAACACAATGAAAAGCACAGACAATAGGAACACAACAGGTACAGTAAGCCTTAAGCTGTAGGAAATCAACCAATCATAGTCGATTATTCTCCTCATTCGATTGTAGTTGGCCAATATTTTAATGGCTTAAAGGACTAAGAAATTTCAACTTATTAGAAACCATGTGTTCTAGTAAACACGATTTAATAGGTTGAAATCTATTATTTTATTACTATCTATTGTTCTATTACTTGTGTTTTTCGACAGTTTTAAGCCTCATATTCCCAATGCTAGAAATTATTCAAGATCTTGGATGAAGAAAGAATTAACCAATGCATTCGTTATGTGACTAAATTGTTCAAGTATGATTTGTTGATTATTTCTCAATCTGTAATATCGGATCGATTTTTAGTATCGTCAACATAAGGCTTTGATTTGAAATGCAATAGGTAGTAAACTTTTAAAATAAATTATTAATATAAATTATTATTATACAAAAAAATTATTTTTTTTTTACAATAAATCAAAGTTAGAAGCTAGAAAATTTTTGATCAATTATAGTCAAATGTGAGAAGAATAATTGTCTGTGACAGGTAAATTTCTAACTTCTGATTTATTACTAATAGTTTATTGTAGAAAGCCTCTAAGAAATCAATCAATCATAGTCATTATTCTTCTACATTCGACTGCGATTGGCCAATGCCTCACAGCTTAAGCTTTATTATTCCTATTGTCTTTGAGGATTTATGACTGGGGAAAAACGCGATATTATCTTACTCATTCTAGCTTACTGATATCGACAAAAAGGACGGCTAATCAAAAGTTCGTGAGTTTGTGGCCAGACGAAATGTCATCAGCTGATCATCAGATCCTAGTATCCCATCTCGTTTCCGAGAGCGCTTTAAATAAAATATTATTCATCTCGTAGATGATGACGCTTGTTTACGTCGAGCGTCTTATTTTCTCCCACCTAAGAAAGCTGCGCGCTTTTGTGGAGGATCCGCAGAATGGCCCACCTTTTTCGTACAAAAATGTCGGACGAGCGATTCAAAGGGTAATTATCGGCGTCATCGATACTCCGATTAGACGCGTTCGTCGAAAGATTTAAATATGACTTTTATTCCTTCTCTCGACTTCTTGCGACGCGCGATGTGAAATCCAAAAGAACACGTAATGTGTCATTACGCTTTGGAAATTGAAAATTATGAGTTAAAGATAGAATTCAATCAATCAGAAGGAAGCGGATTAAAACTGAATGTATCTGACTAGTCAAATTCTAATTCGTAATTCTCAGTCTCCTGAATTTTTCGTGAGACGATTGAGAAACACGCGATGTCCGTCGTAATAATGACAACACTAACTTCAAACGATCGAGAGATCGAAAGGCAAGGATGACGACGACGACGACGTCATTCGTCGACGACAGCGTGACCCTCGCGACTCGGTCCACCGTCGCGATCGCGCGCGCAACCCGACCTTGTCTCAGCGAGAAAAATGGGCGTTCACGCAGCGCACGTATACGACCGTCGATCTAGAAACGAACCTAACCTCGCGCTGGCGGCAGCTGCCGCCGTCGTCGTCGCGTGGAAACCCCGAGCGATTCGACGACTACTCCGCAACAGTCGCCGAACGCGAATGCGTGGATCGGAGTTAGTATGTATACCTTCGCAGCTCTTGCCGTGATTCCGCAGGTAGAGGGTCCACCTAGAAGCGGCACGCTACACCACCGTCGCGCAATCAGCGTCTCGTTCGTTTTGTTTTCACGCAACTACGCAGCGCGATCGAACCGTCATAGCCGTCACGAGCGGAGCGACAGGCATCGACGAAGGGTGAGGGCCCCGTATTTCGCCCGTGTGCACGTGCCGGGGGGAGAAGGACGCACGCACTTTTGTCGTTCGTTCCGGAGAGGAACCGCCACCAACCGCCACTCGCCAATACCCAACCGGAGCCGGTTTTCCGCGCTAACCGCCGGTGGCTCGCTACGTTTCACGAGTACCGTTCGCCACACGTTCACGTAAACGATAAGTTCCGGTAGCCGGACATTTTTTCGCACAAACGCGACCGTCCACCCCGTTTACTCCTTCCACTGGTCTGTCTTTTGTGACGTCACCGATTCAATACTTTTCGCGAAGGTTTCTCGCCGTCATGGCGTTGTTCAAGTACGCCGTCCATCCGACAGATGGCGCCACGGGAGTTGTTTCTGTTGGAGACGATAATAATTAAGAGACTGGCGTAGTGGGGTCAATTTTTGATTGGCTGGATACAGAATGACAGAAGCCAATCAAACATCGCGATGGTAGACAGTGCGAATTTTGATTGACTTCTGCTTTTTTACTTTCTGGTTTTCTGTCCTGTAAGTGCTAGACTAGCGAACGAGTCCTATGATTCATTCCATCATTTTCTATCCAACTAGAATTTATGCCAGTCTCTTAATACATCTCTAGTTTTTGTAGCGGTTCGAATTGGACAAAATTCTGGACAAACACAAAGCTAGCGCCATCTGTGATCAATAAAGTAACAAGTTTTAAAAAATCGACAGTTCGAATTCGGTGGACGCTCTAAAATATACATACTTCCTGTTTATTTGATTTTCACCACTTTTGGAAGCGTTTATGCTGGTCGGATTTGTACACCGTATAATTTATAAAAATTGAGCAATCATATTCGAGTATCTCTGTCTTAACTTAAAGACCATTACACGTAAAAGTCCTAGTCATAATTGTAAAAAATGATAAACTAATTAGTCACTGCTTATACATTTTACGTTAGGACCTTACGGACTCTACTGTGATTGGTCAAGTCACTTGCTACTCACGTTTTACTATAAATCTGGACTTAAATATTTATTATCGGACTAATATTATTATTATTATAGGACTAATATTATGATTCACATAAAGGTAAAGAATTTTTTGTCAAAAAAGTTTTCCTTTATGATAATAACCGAGGGGGTAACCACTATCTGAAATATTGTCCCACAGATTACATGATTTCATTTAATTTTATATAATTTTATTTGATGATAAATAATTTTTCCTCACAATATATGCGGTCATTTGGTCAAATAAACGATTTTATCTAATATTACACAATTGTTTCTTGTAATTGTCGGATTATATATCGAAATTTTATATAAATTTTATAATGATTTCAGGGACTCCGTCCCACGATTACATTAAGTGATTACCCCCTCAATAATAACTGATTTTTCTTTATATTATAACAAATATGTTTAATAATAACAATTGTTTTATCTTTTTAAGTAGGTGTAACAACAAATTGCTAGATCTTTTGTTTATCAATATATATGATTTTAACCCCATACAGCACACTTTATCCCAGAGACATCCCGAGGACGTCCATAGAACGTATTGAGGAAATAGGAACATCCTCAGGACGTTCCTGAAATATCCCTGGGATATTTGTGCTGTTTGGGACTGTACATACGATAAACGATATTATAAGCATTAGTACAAATCATTGAAGAAACTTTTCAATTCAAAGAGCTCATCATTATAATTTTTTGAAATTTTTTTGTATAACTGCTGATTCTCGGTATTTTTCTCAATATTTTTATTGACCGCATGTAATTTTGTAAGGAAAATGCAAAAAAGATATCCTGTGATCCGAACATGAGTACGTCTTCATTTTTATAAATTATAAATATTGTAAATTATAGCATATCGTCGCCACATAAGGGCACATTCCATATTGCGCTTACAATAACGCTTCCATTGTGCTAATCAATAACACTTATATCATATAACAATGAAACTGAATTACCCAGTGAGAAATGACAATGAAATCGACGTTGAATCGATGTCAATTCGATATCGATTCCATTGTCATTTCTCACTGAGTAGGTAATTATTTTTCTTACCATTTATATGATGGTTATTAAATATTATCATAACATTTGTATCAAATCTTTATGATATGTGCAATCTAATTGTAAGACTATAAAAATATTTAAAAAATATTTTTACAAAAATTTTTATAAATATTTTGTAAATATTTAAATAAATCTTATAAAAATATTTTATTTATAAATATTGTGTGCTGTCTGGAGATGATTAACTATACATGAATCACCGCTTGAAAAATTGGTGCTTGACACTAATATTATTTCCGTAATGATATACATGCACATTTTATGTAGCGAAATTCTTCATTTCCGTTGTGAGATTTCTCGTGACACGTTTTAATGCACTGTGTCTGCCGAATGTAACAATTTAAATCCAGGCTTTATGATTCTCGAGTGAATTTCGCCCAACAATTTAAAGGGATTTATTAATTTATTAACTATCTCGGGGGGGGGGGGGACACACACAAGTATTTCCTAGTATCTTTTCATCTAGCTCGGTTCGAACGATGAGTAATTACGAGCGATGTTATCTTATCGCTATACCTTGTTATCATACACGCAGCGTCTGATACGGTCGGACTGATTTTATAGTCGCGAAGAAACTTAGAAAATCGCGACCTTTTGCGCTATATAATGGATCTCCGATCGTCAGTGCCTGTACTCATAATAATCCTCCTCGTAAAGGGTGAAAACTCGATCGCAGAAACCGTGACCGCGGATTCGAGCACAATTAAAGCAGACCATGTGACGGAGCCAACGAGTATATGTACCGTGTGCTCTTGTTCAGGTAGTGTTGTTTAGCTTGATCAAAGGCGGACCAATCATTCTCGATAACGCGCTCAGTGAAGCCTTTTCTTCGCAGAAATTCATGGGATGCTCAATAATCATGTGAAATAACAGTTTTGCTGAAGTGTTTAAGAATTTAAAATATAGAAATACATATCTATATATAGGGCGTGTAAGAGTCAAGAATGATAAAATAAAAAATATAAAATACAAAATAAAATATGTGTCTATTTTAAAAAATGATGATAAAACAATTAAATAATATTATCTAAGAATTTAGTTAGATACGAATCTGAAAATATAATTTTATTGGATTATCTAAATAATTATATAAGATGTTCAAGCATGAAAAGGCAATGTCACATAATGTTTTGACATTCTAGCAACTATCCACCAAATATTGTAAGCTGTCGTTATTTGTCATCAATCTGTCATTTAATATCATTTGATGTTAAAATTACATTTATATCCATTTCCTCTAGTATCGATTAACTTTAATCTTTTCTTAGTTTGATTAACCCTTTTTCTAATTCTTAGGATTATTAAAAGATTAAGAGTAAATTGAATCAAGATTAAAGTTAATTTATTGATAGAAACAGGCATTAATGTCGTTAAAGATATATTATTTCTAACGTCTAAATGACGATAAATTAATACAGTCAACTTGCTGTCTATGCAATTTGAGCGTTCTACATAATTATTTTAATTATAGGCCGATAAAATAATTTTTAAATCTGTTTCTAGTCAAATTTTTAAATATTTTAGCAAAACGTTCTAAGCGCGCTAAAAGCAACGCGTTTTCAGATAACTACGTGGACTGTAATAACCGGAGCTTGGAGACACATTTCGAGAAAGAACGATGGTTGGACACAACGGCCAAAGTAATCTCGTTCGAGCGTAATCGCCTGGTGCATGTCACGCCCTTCCCGCGGATAATAGTTGAGAGACTGATTCTGCGAAGAAATCGTATCGCCAGGATAGATTATGGCGCTTTCAAGGAGCTTGTTAATCTCACCGAATTAGACCTGAGTCATAACCAGCTTACGTCGCAAATGCTACAGCCTCACATTTTCGAGGTAATCGAAAACGATATCGCGACTTAATGTGTTAGTCCGATTGATAAGTGAAGCGAAGTCGTTTCTGATTCAACAATCAATGAGAGAAATATTTTTGATGTTTGACAATTCCAAACCTGTCCAAAATTTTAGAATTCTTTATATAATTTTTAAGAAATTTTATATATTTGTTTTAGAATATTTTCAGAATGTCTGTATATAATTTTGTAACTTTTTACAAAATTTAAATCTTTTATACATACAAATTAGTATACGTTATTTTACGAGAATGCTGAAAATCTATATCTTTTTTTTCTAAAATTTTTTATAATTTTTCATAATATTCTAAGATTTCTTATTCTATTGTTATATAATTCCCAAAAAAATTTACAAAGTATAAATTTAAAATATTTTTGAAAAATCACTTCACAAATTTACAATATAAAAATTTCTTATTTAAATATAATTACGGAAACGTTTTTTATTGAGAAGATACTTGATATTTTTGTTTCTATTACACATATTTAGAGAATTAAAAAATAAAATTATTTTTATGTATATTTTTATCCTCGTGAACATTATACGTTTGTTCTTTTCACTTTTATATAAATAGCTATACAAATTTCTTATACATATAGCTGCATATATTTTGATATTTATTTATCCTCTTATTTAATCAATTTTTTCGTGTTTGAAAAAGGTATTATACATAATGTGAATTGGTAATTTTACTCATCAAAAATGAGAAATACATTTATCTTTAGTATTTAGTAAAACCTTTTTAATAATGGAAAGTTTTTTTATAAAAAACTTTTTTATAAAGTTTTTGTTATTAAAAACATTTTTAATACAATATCTTTGAAAGTTTGCAAATTATTATATATGCAAAATAAATAATAAAAAACTTCCTGGACATTTTCAAAACGTCAAAATAATTTTATAAATCAATTATTTGTTGCATAAAATATGCGCAGATATATAAATACTTTTTTATAATTATTAACTAATTGAGGAATGAAAAGATTAATCGTCACTTCGAAATATATAATCTGTTAGTGTTTTAAATAGCAATTGTCGTATTTTAAACAAATTCTGCTAATTTTATCAACAATGAAAATTATCGTTATGCATTGGTCGTTTATTTGGTTTATGAATGAAATATAAAGAGGAAGATATAAGCTACGAAGAATAATATCTCTCTTTGTTCGATCATGCACTAAATGGCACGTAGGTGCGAGCTCGGTAATAAAAGTGTATTATATTTTATATAAATTTTTTTATAATCAGATATTTATTGGACATTTATTGGCTATATTATACATTTTTACTTAAAATGAACTACATATTCATTAAGTATCTAATTATAAAAAAAATTTATATGAAATATAATACACTTTTACCAAGTTCTGAGCCTGTTTTACGCGCATTTAGTGCAAGAAAATATCATCCAAAAAGAAACATTTATGTACCTAAATATAGGAATCGATAAGAGAGAAAGAGAGAGAGAATTTGTACTTAACATAGGTACAAATAAAAAAGTACTTTGATATAATATCTATAGATACATAAATTTGTGTTACACCTAATTACAGTATGTCCAGATACTTGTAACTGCACAACACTGATCTTAAAGACAATTAGTTGACGACAATCACTTAACGATTAAGTTTTAATTAAGTTTTAATTAAAAGTCTAATTTTCTAAGAGAACTCCTTATTGTTTCTTCGTGCAAATCTCTTATAGTCTAGAGCGCCATATAAAACTAAGAAATGTTAAAGAAAATTTCAATTTCAAAATTTTGTTGTTTTCGACGTAAACTCCATCTTACAGACATGCATTAATACGTATACTTTAGTTCTGGAAAAGGATTTTCGAATCTATGAAAAAAGAAAAAGTAATTGATATACAAAAATTATATATCGGAGTTCAAGTTGGTTGTCAAAATATCAAAACAATATTTATCAGGCTTAAGTGTTCTACTAATAGATATTTTATAATGATTCAGCAAAATTATTTTTAGATCTGTATCTAGCTAAATTTTTATCAGCCTAGTCATTCTTCCTGTGTCTGCAGTCGATTATTATCAACTTTATTTCCGATTGTATCAGGGGAAGTTTTCGTCAGAAGCGTACGAGCCTCTGTCGAACCTGCGAATTTTGAACCTGGGTAACAACATACTCCATTGGTTACATCAGAGTGTATTCGAGCACATTGCCGACCTCGAGGTGTTGAATCTGTCCGGAAATCCTTTCGGCGTGTTAGATTATCGTACGTCCATAGCGATCAGTAGCTTGTCGTATTTGGAAGAATTGGACATCAGTTACTGCCAATTGCGAGAACTACCGAATCATCAGTTCCACAATGCCAAGTAAGGAACCGAAAAGTATACGACAATTATATAGTTTTGTCGTAATTACGTTTGTGCATCACTCGAGAATGGCGTTTCTTAAAACCTTTCGCTATACACTCTCTTTCGCAGACACCTGAAGAAACTGAACCTGACCAGCAACCAGCTCACAGTTTTGCCCAACTCACTGGAAGAGGCCGGGACCTTGGAGTACCTTAGCTTGGATGGCAATCCGATACGCGCTATCGATCGCACGAATGCTTTCCCCGACCTGAAGATGCTGCGAGAACTTAGTCTACGCGGGATGTCGAATCTGACGGTGATCGGGAACGGCGGGCTGTCGGCGTTGACCGGCCTGGAGAGTCTCTACGTAGAGAATTGCTGGAAATTAGAGAGGATTGAGGAGTACGCGATGGCGCTTACGGTACGTTGATAGCCGACGGTAAGCACGTGCCTATGCTGTCAATGATAACGATGTAATTTGCCGCGCGTTGTCCGCAGACCACCGAGGGCACGATGTGGCCGCCGTTGAAAAAGCTGAACATGGCGTCCAATGCTCTCCGGTATCTACCAATGCTACTCGTCGGAAGATGGGACAAGCTCGAGGAATTGCGCCTGACGGGCAACCAGTGGAGCTGCGATTGCAATAATCAATATCTGGTAAGTTCCGACAATCGAGGAATGTGCGATCCATCGAAGAAAAGAAAAAAATGGAGTACACTGAGAAAAATGTTTTTGCTAATGATGAAATAATTATAATTTTAGGGGCTCTATTTCTATAGTTATTACTCTGTGATGTTAGTGTTAGAATAATTATATTTATAGTTCTTTAAAAAAATATTATTATCCCAAAAACGCAGCTATAATATTATACTTGTAATTATATACATATAAAAATATATATAGTTGGCTCCAGAGCCACTACAGTACTGGAATCATTTATTACTTTTGGAAACGTTTATATTTTTTATTAGTTTATATGAAACTATAAATAGAATGATCATTATTAACATTATATGCAGTAATAATTATAAAAGTGTAGCTCTTAATCATAATTATTCTACCGTGCAATTATATGTATATCTCATAAGTACCGAACGCTTTTCTGTAGAAAATCCCTTCATCTCTCCTTTGTGTCTCTCCTTCGTCTCGGTTGGGTTGCGTACAGTGATCAACGGCTTATTTCTCACAGATCGGAACCGTATTGCCGGAATACGGCGACGTGCTAATGGGAGTCAACGAGGTCGACAAGCTCACCTGTTCCGCGCCGCCGGAACACGAGGGGGAGAAGCTCGCGTCCCTGGCTGATCGACAGCTACGTTGCTTGGATCTGTACAACGCGAGACCGGAAAAGGATGCCGCGATACTCGTAGGAGTGCTGATCGGCCTACTTATCGCGATCCCAATCGGCATGACCTTCTTCATCCTTTGGCGGCGCGGCTTCTTTTTCTGTGGATCGCAAGGCCCTGGCAGCTTTTCTCGCGCTTTCTACAAACGCGCGTCCAATGACGATGACATTTAACACACACATTCACAAATATACATTTTTTATAGCTCCCGTAAAAATTACTAGTTTTGTTGAAGTATCTAAAAATTCAACTAGATACAAATTTGAAAGTAAATTTGTATGGACCATTAAAATAATTAAGTAGAACACTTAAACGTTGATGACGGTGCTGCGAAAAGTTTTAACATTTTAGCAACTAAATTAAGCGTTCTATACATAATTATTTTGATAGTCTTATAAAATTATTTTCAGATCTGCATACGTATCTTCATGTAATCCCGCTTCTTTGACAAGACTTTGTTCATATTAATTAAGCAAACATCGAGAAACAATGAGATACACAAAAGGATATATAATGTGTACATTTTGTAGCAGAATCCGTAATGCCACAGATGGCATTAAATGTAGATATCTAATCTAAGCTTTCACAAATACGCGTATCGTATCTTTTATACATATGTTTTGTTAAAACGTGTCATAAAAAACGTGTCAGAGCTCGCGCGGGCGAGATACATATAGGTGTACGTACATTTCTTTGTTCGAATAATCACTTCATTATGAAATGCAGTCCGCCGCTGCATGATGTGTATTACATGACGCTCCGCAATAAACAAACTTGAAAATTAATGCGTGCTACCCGTTTTGCTCTCACGCCTAACGAGTCTCAAGAGGATCCGCGAATCTCGGCGGAGGATGTTGCCGAGCCGCGCGGCGCCGAAACCCCGGACGATGGATTTTCGGCTTTACGGGCAGAGCTGTCGGAGGGCGGCTCTCATTTTCTCTCATTCTCTCTCTCTCTCTCTCTCCCCCCCTCTCTCTCTCTCTCTCGTGGCACAAATGCGCGGAGGGTGCGAGGGTTGGAGGGCGAGGGTTACGCGACGCCGAGCGACGCCGAGCGATGTGAAGCGGGCGGACGCATACGGACGGATGGACACGCGCCGGTAACGCAATTACCGCGACGTTAATTTACTCAATAATCGCAGAAGCAACCCCGTCTAAATGTCGGCACGCGTCCCTCGACCCTAATCATAGCCGGGCCGTCGTCACGCCAACGGAGAGAAAAAGATATATTGTCGAGATATACGAAAAGTTGAGATTCGAGAGATTAACGGTAATGAACACTATTAAAGTGTGAGATTTCATCTCCTTCCTTTTCCTTTTTCTTTTCGTCTCTCTCTCTCTCTCTCTCTCTCTCTCTCTCTCTCTCTCTCTCTCTTATTTCTTTTCTTGATACGTTTAACGTTATCTTTAACATGAAAAGCGTTACTCTTATCTCACAAAACAATTTTCTAGGACGAATCAACATGCACCTCTCTAGTTCCTTCTAATTCATCAGACATTTTCGGACCTTGTCCTGTGTTTATCGCTCAGGAGAGATATGACATATATATAGTCATCACCTCCATCGTCAAACGCCACGCGCTTGTACCGCCATTTGGAAAGCGCCCCGTATACACGAGCCGCTAAGTAATTTAATCCCACGTTTCAGCTCGTCCTCTCGTCCAAGATTCAATACCGATACAGCTCGGCGCATTGAGCGGAGTGCCGCGCATCGTACGAGAGGACCTGCGGATATGTTTCGCTGAGGGCGATAGAGAGATCGAGTTAAACCGAAGCGTTGCGCGATCGTAACGATGCTGCGCGAGAGAGAGAGAGCGATCGGTTTCGGTCGTCCCCTTGAATATATCGACACTTTCGACATTACGGAGTCTTATCTACGAGATAAAGAGACGGAGAGAAATGGGTTTTGAAATACTCTTACCATCTCGAGGAATCGTCGCGCGTCGCGCACGTATAACGGACGCGGCTATACGCCGCGCCGAGCGGGCGAGCGCGAGGGGATTTTCGTAACGTACTCTTACATATACATGCTTGCACTTTGTATTATTATATCTACGTGCGAGGGAGTGCGACAGAATGGGGAGGAATCACGAATATACAGAAGGATCGGAGTTCCTCCTGCTCCGTTCCGCGCCCTCCGGCCGTCGCCGCCGCCTCCTCGGCGCGGGACGTACGCCGCTGGATTCACGAATACCCGAGCGCGTGTCCATGGAAACGAATGGCCGAGACCCGCCCCCAGGATCGTCGCGGGACCAACCCCCGGCGACGGTGAGCGTCGCGACGCCGGCCAATGCGGGACGTCAGGCCGGCCTCGAAACTCGGATACACTCGGATCCAAGCGTCACCCTTCCACGAGCTGCCGCGGTACGCCAACTGGCAGGAGGGGCTGTCGATGATCGCCGTTGCGGGGGGTTGAATCACCCTGATCGCGCCGCGCTCACCGATACGCGGCCTCGCACGACGTCTCGGTGAACGACGGCGAAAGACAGTCTCGCGCGATTCATACCCAATCTATGGCACGATCCGCGAATGATCGATCACGATTCCATCGAGGAATGAACTCGCGGGACGTACGACGTCCGATTAGTTGAAACCAGGTCGAGTTAAAGTGATCAACCGACTCGCCGAGGGTGTCGCCGATCGCGATGCACACTTCGGAAGAAAAGTGATTAGTTTTGAGAGTGAGTCGCGAGAGTTCCTCTTCGCGGTATCGGTAACCGAATAAACGTCTAATTATTAGGAGACTTGGCGCGAGACTCTCCCTGTTAAGGGAGTTGAAGGAGAAAACCGATGTCGATTGCTGAATAATCATCGGACTACTTTAGTTTGCAACTGCAGCTGCCCCTCTATTGAGGGATTTCAAGAAAAAGAAGAAGAATCAACGCGTTTAAACACTCAAAGTTTGTTTGGCCCTAGCTATTTCTCTTGGCACTGGAAACACTGGACTGTTTGTATCTTGGATTGTCGCGACTGGCAAGGATCTCCCTTCGATTTCGCGACCTTGGCGTCGCGCCAAGACGCCCTGGCGAGGATGTAACCGCGACGATCGAGGCATGTATGCGTCGTCGTAGCCGCAACGTCGTTGTGTCGAACGAGAAAGATGCAGTCGACCTGCCAGCAGCAACAAGCTCAGCCAGGCCAAAACGGAACTTCCGCCAGCAGGACATCGTTCCTCATCGAGGATATCCTTAGTCGCGGCACCGTCAATCCGCACACCCATCATCATCAGCTGCATCATCAGCACTTGACGTCGACCCCCGGCCACGGACAGCACCATCAGTATCAGCAGTTCGCCAGTCTGCTCCCCGGTTATCCCGCGGCACCACCCGCCGCGGCGGCCTTCTTCTTGGGTCCGCTCTTCGGTAGCGCTGGTATGGGGGTCGGTGTGGTGCCAGGGGTCGGGGAACTAGCAGCTCTCAAGCATTGCCGACGACGGAAGGCCCGGACCGTGAGTACATCCTCGGTCCTATTCCCTCCCTCACCCCGTTGACGCGAAGTTTCCCGTCTCCATCTGGAGTGGAAATCGAGACGTCGCGTCTAGAAAGAACGGTTTTGCTAAAATATCTAGAAACTTATAAGCCAGATAGAGATCTAAAAATAATTATGTTAAACTCTATTACAATAATAATTATAAGATGCTCGAGCTGGTTGCTAATTAAAATATTAAAACTTTTTGCTTTATTGCTCGTTATACTTGAGTATCTCGCGTAATTATTTTCATGTTCCAACAAAATTATTTTCGTAATATTTTCTAGATCTTGTTAAATTTTTAGGTACTTTAGTAAAATCCTTCTTTCCTGTACGAATAACACACACTTCGTCTTTACAAACTGTAAACGTAATATAACCATTCTACACGAAAAAGAGAAACGTATTTTTGTTAAAGTATCTAAAAATTGAGGAAACTAAATACAGATCTGAAGAGAATTTTGTCGGTTCATCATAATGAGCGTCGGACAAATGTAACGATGATGTTGCAAAGTGTTTTAATATTTCGAATAATTGTTTTGCTAGCACGCGTACATATAATTATTTTAATAGCTCTAATAAAATTATTTCTAGATCTGAATTTAGCTAAATTTACTTTAACAAAACCCTTCTTTATGGACCAAATTGTTGACTCCAAATCAATCAGTAGACGAAACATAAATCAAGCTCGCATAAATTCTGCGTGTAATTATTACAACATGAAGCGTGTATTTATATGCGACGTTACTGAAAATGATTCTTAGTATGTTAACTTCTCTGGTCTCTTGTCATTATATATATTTACTTAGTTTCTTTCTCCTCCACTTATCTCTCGCGATTATAGGAGATAAGAGTTTGCTTCCTTACGGCTTCAGGTATTTAGCGATCAGCAGCTGGCAGGTTTGGAGGCGAGATTCGAGGTGCAGAGATATCTAAGCACGCCCGAGAGAGTAGAGCTGGCGGCGGCGTTGCACTTGTCCGAGACTCAAGTGAAAACATGGTTCCAAAATCGACGGATGAAGCACAAGAAGCAGCTGAGGAAGCTGAACACGAGCGGCAGCAGCAATTCCAATTCAGGCCAGCAATCGATATCCGTTACGTCGCCCGCTGGTGAGTCGAGTCCCACATCATTCTCCGCGTTCGCCGGTTTTGCTTCGATAGATGGGAAAATGTAAATCGGTTCCATTGCATCAAGTGTATAATGCGACGTCGCGATTTTCGAGGGAGAGAGAACGGATCCGGAACGGCTGTAACGAGGCGTTTACGGCGCGCTATTGAACGATAATGCTTAAAGGACATCGCAATCTACGGCATCTACGGAATTTCGCGTCGAGGTAGCTTCCGCAACGCGTAACTTAATTACCGGCAAATTAAATGCGCGTATCGACTTTTCGATAAACAGCTGCGAGCAGTATTCCCGCGCCGCGAGCTAATTAACTCGGATTAATGACGCCGTGTCCTAGATAAACGGAAACTCATGAATGGCTGCGCGCCGCGCCGTTAGAAGAACATTATACCTAGATCTAGGGTAAACTTCAATAAGATGGCCATCTTTATAAGGTGGGCTATTTGTGTCATTCTATCCTTGTTTTAAATCTAATAAACAACGAAGATGGAATGGCTCTGATAACGTCTCCTCGAACGCATCAATAATATAACACTATTAAAGATAACAAAATTAAGGTATTGTTTTTCGCACTTTAAAGATGACCATCTCGCTCAAGTTTACGTACGACTCTTTCGTTTATAAGCCGACTCCGAAAGCGAACTCGGAAGTAGGATAGATTCTGGTCAGACGTATAATCTCTTCAGAGTACTGTGTGACATCAATGACGCGTGTATTTGGCTTAATTAGTAAATAGGCAGCCTACGTGCAGATACGCGGATATGAAAATGTTAAACAAACTGTGTATTCGCAATCGTAAGTCGATACACCGGCACGACGCAGACCGAGATTAATCGGCTATAGTTATCGGTTATCCGGCCGGAGCGGAAAGCGAGGAGGCGCGGGACGACGCGTTATAACGTCGGTTGTCGTTAAATACTTCCCTGTTGTCACGCTAATGGGCGATATCTGTATAATGCAACCAAAATACCGCTGACAATAAATTACGCAAGTTCGGCGTAACTAGCCAGACCGTAACCGTGATTACGTTGCGAGGAACTATAATCATTATAACGGTATCTGCGTAATGGTTTGCATTCCGTCGTAGATATATTACCATAATACCATTCGCCGGTGACGTCGCAGTTACAGATACGCATCACATTAATTTCATAACGGGAAAACTCGCCACGGGGATGTCCCGATTTATTTGTTACTTTCTGTTTTTCGATGCTGGACGTTACGTTAATTTTCTTGAAGAAAATTTATCAATTCGCCACCTTCAACGATTTACATATTATTTTCCGTTTTTTGATAACAGGATGCGCATTACGTCAATTTTCCAGAAGAAAATTTACAGCGCTGTAATAATGGTTATTTTCAATGTTATTTATTACGTGTTATTTTTTGTTTTCGATAATGTGCTTGGATTATATTAATTTTTTAGAAAAAAAATTTTCATCGTGCTGGTATCTCGTTGCCACGAGCGATTTATTATATGTATCATTTTTCGTTTTCAATAAAACAGTGATATTAATTTCCTAGACGAAAATTTGTAATGGTAGTGTCGTGAGTGTCGTTTTTCGATAACATGTTTCGCATTATATTAATTTTCTAAAAGAAAATTAATTATGTTATTTTTTATTTTCGGCAATGTAATGTGCGTTATATTAATTTTCTAATACATCATTTATATTATCGTAGTGATATTGTTGCCTTGAGTGATTTGCTTCGATAACATATGACGTCCGTTATATTGATTTTTAAAAAGAATATTTACCGCGATATATAGCGTCAAACGATTTACATGTCATTCTCTGTTTTCGATAACATAGCGTATGTCTTATGTTAATTTTCTAGTAGAAAACTTATCGCGATGGCTTCGAGCAATTTCCTTCGATAAAATGGGACGTGTATATTATATTAATTTTCTATAAAAGAATGTCATTGCCTCGTTGTAATGTCATTGCCTCGAACAATTTACATGTTATTTTCCATTTTCGATAACACGTTGCGTATTATATTAATATCTTAGAGGAAAATTTATCGCGATAATGTCGTTATCTCAAGCGACTTACTACTTTCTACTTTCTACTTTCAACAACATAGTATAAAACTAATTTTTCTTCACGGTTAACGCATTCTCTTCACACCACTCTGGTATTATGGCGTACGAATATAAAAGCGATCGTTCAACGAGACTGCGGGAAACATTTCGAGCGATTTAAATAGTTTGGTCCATAGCGTTCGCATCCTATATGTCAAGTTGTTCGTCTTCGGTAGACAAGATGGCTTCGTTCGGTAGGAAGGGCTAACCGAGTTACATAGACGTCTCCTTGGCAGCAACCAAGAAGGAGGTATCGAGAGGAGGGTGAGTAGGGTGGAGGGCATACAGAAGACGGAGACCGCCTCAACGTCTTTAGACTCGAGCGAGCTACGTAAGGAACTCCGACGGGGAGATTCGTTCCCTCCTTCGATGCCTCTCTTTCACCGTCTCGTTTCGACTCCCGCTTATACACCCGTCTCTCGGCGAGAGAATTGCTCAATTACCCGCTAAGTGCTCGGTCAGACCTATATTCTCGATTGTGCTCGCCGCTAAGGGCTACCGTAGGCCGTAACGGCGCGTGCCATGATTCCGACTTTTTATTCAAATATAAGGAAACACAAAACCGAGATTCATCTGTACTCATCGCGAAAATATTTGCGGCGCCGTAACGCCGACTGACGATAAAAGCGACCAAGAGAATTCGTTACAACAATTGTGTTCCGCTTGCAAACGTCGGATACGACTTGTAGTGTTGCTCTGATAATCGCATTGCGATTCAACGGAAGTAATATTAACCCTCTGGAGCTGACTTCAAAATCTGTAACACAGTTACTGGCTCTGTAAGACCGATTTAATTTATATGTTAGTTTATCAATTAATTTTAAGAGAAAATGAGGAAAAATCTGAATACTAATACTATATTTAACATCAGAACCGCCGATGATGGTTCCACCATTTTAACTTCGTTAATCATTTTTCTTTTTTCTTTTTTCTATATACAGAATATAGAGAAAATATAAATAATTTTAATAATAGAAATAATATAAAAACAAGTTCTTCACTAATCAAGAACAAGGATTGGGAAATTATCAAATTGATATCGTCAGCAATTCTAGCATCGGCGGTTCCAGTGTTAATTAAAAATAATCGAAATTTGCGGATACGACATAAGAAAATTATAAGAGAACTCTATAAGAGAATTATTCCATGTTTTTTTGACAAAGAGATTAATAATTGAGTCGATTAAACGGACTCACTGTCAGCTCCGGAGGGATAGAATTGAGTCCAGGAGGTTTAATCGACGATTGTTTGCTGATGTTGACAGAGCGTCCCGTAGACTTTTCGCTGAGTGGCGGCCGCGAGTCGCGCGCGAGCAGTGACGCGCCCGCGGACTCCGACGACGAGGACGATGACGAGATCGATGTGCTGGGTGATGAAACGCCGTCGCCGACGGTGACGCCAACGGCGACGCCGACCCCGATGCCGGCGCCGGCGCCGACGCCTACGCCCGCGGCTCCGACGCCGACCTTGACGTCGACGTCGACGGTTTCGACCCCGACGTCGACGCGTACCGGCACCCTGCCATCTCTGTCCAGACGCGGCACCCCACCAAGGATCCTCCACACGGCGATTCATCCGCATCCGCACTCGCATTCTCACCCGCATCCGCACACGGTCGGCCTTCACCATCAGCACGGCCAGCATTCCGCCCAACGTCAGCATCGCTGAGACGTGTTGCGACGTCACCGCTTGTCTTTTATCAGAATCACGGCAGCCACGCGTAGAAAAAGAATGGATGATCTTTGTCCGTGGTACTGGCCATCCCCGGTATCCCCGCGACGACCGGATCTATCGAGAATTTACCTTAGGCTAAAGCTCGCCGCATAACGGAGAAACACGGAATTCGGCAGAGATCGTCTTCGCTCGAAGGACCGAGATGAGGGGAGATATCAACGGTCCTCGTAGAAGTTTTTAAGCGGTATTTACCTGTCACACTGATATAATTCGCGCTATTCAACGCAGAACGATATCGTCGCTGGAGCGTCGCTGGATCTTCCCGCTTGCGTAACGTAATAAAGACAGGAAAAATAAAAAAGAAAACGAAAGAAATGGAGTTTTGCCGGTTCCGAAATCTCTACTTTTTATAGTGAAATACGGTAATTGGTCTGTTGTTACTTTTTATAGTCAACTGTGTAAAAATAGGCCGTGGTTTTCGTTGAGAATTAAACTGTCATGCTCTGACGCGATGATGTTGTATACTTCTGTTTCTCCTCGATTTATCTTTTCCCAGGCAGTTTTCTGAAACTTTGAGTGCGTAATATACTCTTTTTGGAGGCAAAAGGAAAGAGAAAGAGAGAGAAAATCAAATTTTTTATACCGGAAGGACGCGCGAGTTATGTCCATTTCTACCAATGTAGATTAACTTTAATCTCGGTTTAACTTACTCTTTATCTTTTCCTAACGCTCGTTTCTATCCTAATGTAGTTTAATTTTAATCTTGACTTTAAAATGGTTTAACTTTTCAACTTTTTCAAATTATAAGAATTAAAAAATGGATAAAGGGTAAATTGAACCGAAATTAAAAAGTATTAATCTATGAATAAAATGAATTATACAAATCTGAGCTCTCGAGATAATAAATAATAAAAGTATATTATTTGTTAAACTATCTATTTGAAATTGTGTTAGTTTCCATCAATGTAGATAAAGTTTAATCTCATTCCTCCCAATTTATTCTTTACCTTTTTCCAATTCTATCTAAAATGATATCGTTTGCATAATTGTCTACTAATGTAGGCAAACTTTAATCTGACAATTTATTATTTTTCATCTTTTTCTATTCATAGAATTGGAAAAACATGAGGAGTAAATTAAATTCAAAATTAAAGTTAATCTACATTGGTAGGAACGGGGATTAAAAAAGATAATGAGTCTCAGTTAAACTGAGATTAAAATTAATTAGTAAAAATAAACATTAGGATGTCGTCTCTCGATAACGATGTTTTATGAACCGCGTGGCGCGCGTCGACATTGACATTTAATTGCGTCGTGGGTCGCGGAGAACGGCGATCGAGTCTCTTTACGCGATTGTTTCGTTAATGATCGGCGTGACATTTCGATACCTACGACTCGGGGACATTTTCGCAAAAGTTAATGAGGCATCGAGTCAACGAAAGGGACGGAACAACCGTGATGTTCGCTTCGTTAATGCATTGACTGCCATTACTATAAGTATCTAGTGTCCAGATTAGACTACAAATTAGACTTGAGATTGAGATTGAACTTGAACAATCAAGGCAAAGTTGTAAACATGATTTCGATTCTCTTTCTTCCGGTTCGTCAACTCGTAAATGACCTCAGGATATCGATTATATAACTTTTTCCCTGGTGTGAAGAAGTGAACAGTGAAAATTTTTGGTACACATGTGTGCATATGTACATACATGCATTCCTAAAAATTTCCATTTTTCATGTTTCCGCTGTAGCGAAAAGGTTACACGATTGATACCCTGGGTGTAAATTTGAACCAGCAAAATTTTCAACTTGTGCAGGGCGTTTGAGAGAAAATTGGTTTTGCTTAACACGCAGTTTTGAATGAATCACGTTTTGTTTTTGAAAATTCAATATCACCAATCGATTGGTTAGAAAATTTTACACATAAAAACATAGGTTTTACTTTAATTTTGTCTTTTTTTTTTTTTTTTAGAAAATATGAAATATTAAAAACTATTCTTTAAGAATGCTCAAACAAAGGGAGGTGATCTTTATGGGTTAAAATTTAATCTGAACCTCAATTTCTAATCTGAAACGAGCACAATCAGCACTATTGAATTTGTTTAAAATATTCGTAAAAAATATAATATAGATGCCATTTAATATCAAATCTTAAACAACTACATAATAAATAGCTAGATAACTCTGTAAAAATAAGAAACGCGGAATTCAATACACAATTCGTGAGAATATTATTTATGCTCAATTTTTTCATCTTTAGATAATCTTTATCCAGAAGATATCTGCCAGAATACAATGGAGATCTCCTGGATAAAGTTATCTGTTATTTATCTGGAAGTGAAGAAATTGAGCATTAATCGTATCAGTATACTATCGTTATACGACGGGTTCCCACGAGGCGTGAAACACGTGTTATGATAATAAAAATTTAATTGACATGCTCGATAAGAGACTATCCAATTTGCTGAGAGGACGAGTTAACTCGGAAATCTAGATTTTTTGCGTAAACAATTAGAGCGTTTTTTACACTCCAATTAAAAATTACTATTATTAATTATGTGTTGCATATTATGAATTGCTCTACAATTTATTATAATATAATATTTGAAATTATTATATATACATTCCTTTTTAAAGTTTGAAAACACTTAAAAATTGACGTTTTTGAGATTATTTATACGAAAATCTATAATGTGTTTTTTAACAATAAATTGTTTAAATAACCGTTATTTAATGAATTATTGTTAAAAAGTATGTTGTTAGAATGTTTGAATAAGTAAAAAATTTCAAAAATGCTAATTAATAAAGTATTTCTAAATTTTTAGCCAGGAATGTATGTATACAATTTTATTTAATATTTTCTAAACAATGTAAGGAGAAATAAAAAGATAGATTTCCAATTGGTAAAGAAAAACTACAGTGGTTGGGCCTTATTTTCTTCTGGGATATAAAAATCATCCCAGATGACTATTCTTGGATTAAATATGACCTGTAATTACGACGATCGAGCACGACTTAACTGGTGATTATGCGTGGTTGTGAAACGATCGCGGGATTTTTGCTACCTGTTGCGATGACATTAGATCGGCAAGATCGGCAAGTGGGCTGTTAAGAAAAGAGACGATATTATAGCGAGCGGTAGAGATTTTCCAACGAGCGTGCGCGTGTCACGCGAGCGGTGAGGAGGCGCCTGCGGGGCACGTCGTGCTTCCAGTTGGGGTGAATCCTAATACCTAGATAATAGGAAATAATTGCGAGGGATCAGAGCGAGCGAAGCTACTCTGTCGGCTGTCGGGTTTGGGGGCAGCGGGATGTGTATAGGAAGAGGAAGAGGGGAGAGAGGGAGAAAGAGAGAGAGAAAGAGAGAGGAGAGAGGGTGGCGCCGCGCCACGTTTCCATCCCTCCTTCCCTCTTCCCGCGCCTCTCCTTCCCTACTTTCCCTTCTCGTCGTCGATTCGCGGGGGTGGAGAAAGAGGACGAAGAGAGGATCGTAATCGTGTTATCGGGACGAAATCACGAGGTACATTCTCGGATATACATCGGGTAGATGGATACGCGGCATTGCGACCGTATGCGCGAGACCAATCCGCGTGGAGATTTACTTCCGGCGAGAGATATATTTCCGAGGGAGGAAAAACGGTGGAGAGAGAGAGAGAGAGAGAGTGAATTTGTATCGATGCTCCGTAGCGCGTTTGGATTCTCGAAGAGAAGGCACTCTTTCAGAATCTCACAATTTCCTCCAAACGACATATCGAAGTGACACTCTCGCGAAAGCCGCGCTTCGGGGGGTTTCTGATGCGCGCGCTCTAAAAGGGTGGCAGTGGGACGGTGAGAGGGACTTGGCCTTTGATGTGCAGGAAGATAACGTTGGCATTGTTTAGAGGAAGAAACACGCCCGGGCTGGCCAGGTAAGCTGGTAAGCTAAATGAGATCACGGTGCCATTTATGACGTTTATTAGATTCCGTTAAGACGTCTATTATTACGGTACGTAAATAAAAGGGGGAGAATTCGCGTCCCTCGTCGAGGGAGACGAAGCGGAATGCGGCGAAAATAATGAAATAAAGGACAATGAAGTGGCAGGTACAATGGCCAATAGGGCATAGAATGAGAGGACGGGCAAGGCGCCAGCGGGCGACGAGCTCCTCTCTCTCTCTCTCTCTCTCTCTCGCTCTTTCTCTCTCTCTCTCGTGGAAGGGGTGTTGCAACAAGGGGTTATAGAGCGCGGCTCGCTTTAGTTCGGCGGGCTAAATGCAGTGGGCGTGTTCCATTACTTTCATTATTTTCAGTCGCCGGGGTTCGGTATGGGTATCGATGCCCGAATGTAACCGTAGGTCGCCCCGTGTGGCAGCGTGCAAATGTAACGCAGCCAGCGAAAGGTGGGCGACCTACGATTTTCGCCCTTCGGAGTCGATGCAGATCCATCGACGGCGACGCGGCGACAGCGAGTTCGCTATATCGAAGCAACGATACATGCGTATATATATGTGGGTGCGCGCGCTCAGTGCGTGCGCGCGCTCACGCGGGTGTGTGTCGACCGAGATCAATTTAATCCGCTCGAAAAAAAAAAAGTGGAGAGAAGGACGAGAGTATTGGGCCTGGAGTCGAAGAGGCCGCACGCGAGGGTGAACCGTTAGCTTAACAAGCTGTCAAGACGTCGCCGCGTGTCAATCCGCGGCTCTCCAACGATCTCCGAAATAAAGCCGCCTAAAACCCTTCAGTCGTCTCTCGTGCGCGCCGAGCCGCGGATGAGAGTTTTCAGTCCGGTCGCAAAACGTCCGGGGTTTTTCTCTCCTTTTCTCCGAATTCGAACAATGCCTGTATGCGCATTTATTTCTGGAAACTTAGCTGTATTAAATACATTTTTTTTTTTCATTTCACTATATAGAACCGTGCCATTTTAACTCATCTGATGGCTCTTTCCAGTTAATTTGAATTTGCGCATGGCTCTACGTTTTTATAGCTTTTCATAAATGATTATAATTAATTATAAATA